CTGTATGTTTTATAATTTCATTTAGGATACCATCAAGACCACAGGCCTTTTTTTTAGTTGAAGTTTGTATTTTGTCCTGAAATTCAGTCAATGTAATTGGAGAATCCAGTGGGTTCTGGTAGTCCTTAATAGCTGATTCTAAATCTCTCTCGTTCTCTCTCTCTCTCTCTCTCTCCCTCCTGCCAGGGTTCTCGTGGTAATTCAGGCATATTAGGACCAAAGGGGAACAAGGTGGGTGTTGTTACTGGATGTCAGCTAACTAGGGATGATCAATATTCATTGGTGTCACCTTTCTGAAACCATAAACCATGGTGCTCAGTGGTTCTCTATCTTTTCTCGTTTTTCTTCTAGGGCTCCATTGGTCTCTCTGGGATGTTGGGACAGAAGGTTAGAAACACACATAATTTATATATACATTCAATTGTTTGATTTAATTCTGTGGTGAGAAACAACTCAATAACGACCAGAATATAAACCCATAGAATCAATATTCTACTACTTTCTATCTCTCTTTCTCCCCCCACTCTCTCTCTCTCTCTCTCTTTCTCCCCCCCACTCTCTCTCTCTCTCTCTTTCTCCCCCACCCCTCTCTCTCTCTTTCTGTCTTTCTCCCCCACCCCTCTTTCTGTCTTTCTCCCCCACCCCTCTCTCTCTTTCTCCCCCACCGCTCTCGCTCTCTCTCTCTCTCTCTCTTTCTCCCCCACCCCTCTCTCTCTCTCTCTCTCTCTCTTTCTCCCCCACCCCTCTCTCTCTCTCTCTTCTCCCCCACCCCTCTCTCTCTCTCTCTCTCTCTCTACCTATCTCAGGGTGAGATGGGATCGAAGGGAGACCCAGGAATTTCGGGGAAGAGAGGACCCACTGGCCGACCTGGGAAGAGAGGAAAACAGGTGAGAGAGATCAGAGGAAGAAAGAGGGATGAGAAAATATATATATTACCTCAAAGAGGGTTTGCTGTAGTGTGTTGGTGTGTATCTTCAGTGTCCAGCATGTTAGTGTATGTGCTTGTGTAGGAAACCCTTTGGCATCAGGTACTTTACACAGAAACACCCCTGTCCGAACCCTGTCATCTGACACATGCGCCTCCTCCAGAGATAATTCCGTCATACACCTCCCCACCTTCCTCCTCTCTCGCTCTCCCCTGCTTTCATATGCTCTATATACAGTTGAAGTCGGAAGTTTACATACACCAAATACATTCATACTCCGTTTTTCACAATTCCTGACATTTAATCCTAGTAAAAATTCCCTGTCTTAGGTCAGTTAGGATCACCACTTTATTTTAAGAATGTGAAATGTCAGAATAATAGTAGAGAGAATTATGTATTTCAGCTTTTATTTCTTTCATCACATTCCCAGTGGGTCAGAAGTTTACATACACTCAATTAGTATTTGGTAGCATTGCCTTTAAATTGTTTAACTTGGGTCAAACGTTTCGGGTAGCCTTCCACAAGCTTCCCACAAAAAGTTGGGTGAATTTTGACCCATTCCTCCTGACAGAGCTGGTGTAACTGAGTCAGGTTTGTAGGCCTCCTTGCTCGCACACGCTTTTTAAGTTCTGCCCATTTGCGACCAAGCTTTAACTTCCTGACTGATGTCTTGAGATGTTGCTTCAATATATCCACATAATTTTCCTTCCTCATGATGCCATCTATTTTGTGAAGTGCACCAGTCCCTCCTTCAGCAAAGCACCCCCACAGCATGATGCTGCCACCCCCGTGCTTCACGGATGGGATGGTGTTCTTCGGCTTGCAAGCTATCCCCTTTTTCCTCCAAACATAACGGTGGTCATTATGGCCAAACAGTTCTATTTTTGTTTCATCAGACCAGAGGACATTTCTCCAAAAAGTACGATCTTTGTCCCCATGTGCAGTAGCAAACCGTAATCTGGCTTTTTTATGGCGGTTTTGGAGCAGTGGCTTCTTCCTTGCTGAGCGGCCTTTCAGGTTATGTCGATATAGGACTTGTTTTACTGTGGATATAGATACTTTTGTACCTGTTTACTCCAGCATCTTCACAAGGTCCTAAGCTGTTGTTCTGGGATTGATTTGCACTTTTCGCACCAAAGTACGTTAATCTCTAGGAGACAGAACGCGTCTCCTTCCTGAGAGGTATGACGGCTGCGTGGTCCCATGGGGTTTATACTTGTGTACTATTGTTTGTACAGATGAACGTGGTACCTTCAGGCGTTTGGAAATTGCTCCCAAGGATGAACCAGACTTGTGGAGGTCTACAAATTATTTTCTGAGGTCTTGGCTGATTTCTTATGATTTTCCCAAGATGTCAAGCAAAGAGGCACTGAGTTTGAAGGTAGGCCTTGAAATACATCCACAGGTACACCTCCAATTGACTCAAATTATGTCAATTAGCCTATCAGAAGCTTCTAAAGCCATGACATCATTTTCTGGAATTTTCCAAGCTGTTTAAAGGCACAGTCAACTTAGTGTATGTAAACTTCTGACCCACTGGAATTGTGATACAGTGAATTATAAGTGAAATAATCTGTCTGTAAACAATTGTTGGAAAAATTACTTGTGTCATGCACAAAGTAGATGTCCTAACCGACTTGCCAAAACTATAGTTTGTTAACAAGAAATGTGTGGAGTGGTTGAAAAACTAGTTTTAATGACTCCAACCTAAGTGTATGTAAACTTCCGACTTCAACTGTACGTGCGCTCTAGCCAACAGCATCTCATCATGTAAGCTATACGTGCGCTCTAGGAACAGCACACAGATAGCACTATAGCACTATAGCATATAGCACTATAGCAGATAGCACTATAGCACTATAGCAGATAGCAATATAGCACTATAGCACTATAGCAGATAGCAATATAGCACTATAGCAGATAGCACTATATCATATAGCACTATAGCAGATAGCACTATAGCACTATAGCACTATAGCAGATAGCACTATAGCAGATAGCACTATAGCACTATAGCAGATAGCAATATAGCACTATAGCACTATAGCAGATAGCAATATAGCACTATAGCAGATAGCACTATATCATATAGCACTATAGCAGATAGCACTATAGCACTATAGCACTATAGCAGATAGCACTATAGCAGATAGCACTATAGCATATAGCACTATAGCAGATAGCACTATAGCACTATAGCAGATAGCAATATAGCACTATAGCACTATAGCAGATAGCAATATAGCACTATAGCAGATAGCACTATAGCATATAGCACTATAGCAGATAGCACTATAGCACTATAGCAGATAGCAATATAGCACTATAGCACTATAGCAGATAGCAATATAGCACTATAGCAGATAGCACTATATCATATAGCACTATAGCAGATAGCACTATAGCACTATAGCACTATAGCAGATAGCACTATAGCAGATAGCACTATAGCATATAGCACTATAGCAGATAGCACTACAGCACTATAGCACTATAGCAGATAGCACTATAGCACTATAGCAGATAGCACTATAGCACGCAGCTAGCACGCTATATAACACTATATATTTGTTGTGAGAAAACCATCAGTAGAGTTGAACATGCGATGGGAAATCCATTTAACAACAAAAGGTATTTTTATGTGCACTACCTCAGCACGCACAGCCTATTATCTGCAACAAGTCAATCTGATATTGTTTTTTATGTGGATTTTAGAATATTCGCATGAAAATCTGTTGCCAATTGGATGGAAACCTAGCTACCATGTCAATAATTACGGAGGCCACTGTAGGTCACCTTAGGTGTGTGTGTGTGTGTGTGTGTGTGTGTGTGTGTGTGTGTGTGTGTGTGTGTGTGTTTCTCTGTGTGTGTGTGTGTGTTTCTCTGTGTGTGTGTGTGTGTGTGTGTGTGTGTGTGTGTGTGTGTGTTTCTCTGTGTGTGTGTGTGTAGGGTATGAAGGGTCAGGGTGGGACCCCAGGTCCAATGGGTCCTACAGGTCCTGCTGGTCCCTCTGGTCGTCCTGGTCCCCCTGGACTACCTGCCGCAGGTAAGATAACACCACCTGGACTACCTGCCGCAGGTAAGATAACACCACCTGGACTACCTGCCGCAGGTAAGATAACACCACCTATGGGACACACACATACACACACACAAAGAACAATTATTGTGTTTTGTGTAATGATCTGTGTGTGTTTGCGTGTGTGTGTGTTTTCCCCCAGGCCTGTACCTGGTAGGGGAGAAGGGAGATACGGGTGTAGCAGGACCTCCGGGTCACTGTGACTGTCACACCCCTCTGGGAGTCACCAGCCCCCACTTCGGCAGTCACACACAACGGGGCAACTACCACAAAGTCCCCGCGGTGAGACTCTGTGGCTCTCTCACACTGATGCTTAATACTTGGACACAGGACCTTTTCCCATCAACTTTGACCACAACATTTTTAAATTCTAAAATATAGTTATCAAGTCCCTACATTGGGCATTTTCAATATTCCTGTCTTTTCAGTGTATTAAGTTTTTCGTTCTTTGTGAATCTCTGTACCTTGAATCAACATGTGTTCTTGAGTTATTTCAACATTGTCACGATCGTTATAGAGAGTAGACCAAGGCGCAGCGTGATGAACGAACATATTTATTTATATAATGAATGCACGAACAAAACGAAAACGTGACGTCCTACGGTAAACACAACCCAAACGGAACAAGATCCCACAAACACGAATGGAAAACAGACTGTTTAAATATGGTTCCCAATCAGAGACAACCAGCAACAGCTGACACTCGTTGCCTCTGATTGGGAACCACTCTGGCCAACATAGAAAATCAAAACTAGATAGTGAACATAGAACAAAACACATAGAAACTACACACCCTGGCTCAACATCTAGAATCCCCAGAGCCAGGGTGTGACAAACATGTGTTCTTGAGTTATTTCAACATGTGTTCTTGAGTTATTTCAACATGTGTTCTTGAGTTATTTCAACATGTGTTCTTGAGTTATTTCAACATGTGTTCTTGAGTTATTTCAACATATGTTCTTGAGTTATTTAAACTCTCTCTGGTCTCTGTGTAGATCTTTGTAGTGGACAGTGAGGAGGAGTTGGATCGTCTCCACACAGTCAACGCCATCGCCTTCAGGAAGGACCAGAGATCCCTCTACTTCAAAGACAAAGATGGCTGGCAGCCCATACAGGTACTATACTATACTATACTATACTATACTATACTATACTATACTATACTATACTATACAGATACTATATTATAATATACAGGTACTATACAATACGATACTATACGATACTACACTATACTATATGATACTATACTGTACGATACGATAGTATACGATACTACACTATACTATATGATACTATACTATAATATACAGGTACTATACAGGTACTATACAATACTACACTATACTATATGATACTATACTATACAATACGATAGTATACGATACTACACTATACTATATGATACTATACTATACAATACGATAGTATACGATACTACACTATACTATATGATACTATACTATACGATACTACACTATACTATATGATACTATACTGTACGATACGATGCTATACGATACTACACTATACTATATGAAACTATACTATACGATACGATGCTATACTATATGATACTATACTGTACGATACGATGCTATACGATACTACACTATACTATATGATACTATACTATACGATACGATGCTATACGATGCTATACGATACTATACGATATGATACTATACGATGCGATACGATACTATACGATGCAATACTATACATTACAAATACACCAAGGAACTGCTGTTTTAGTTTTTCTGTTGCAAGATGTTTTGTTACGGTGTGGCTTAATTAATAGGACCCTGTTGTTACGGTGTGCCTTAACTAATAGGACCCTGTTGTTACGGTGTGCCTTAATGAATAGGAACCTGTTGTTACGGTGTGCCTTAACTAATAGGACCCTGTTGTTACGGTGTGCCTTAATGAATAGGACCCTGTTGTTACGGTGTGCCTTAACTAATACGACCCTGTTGTTACGGTGTGCCTTAACTAATACGACCCTGTTGTTACAGTGTGCCTTAATGAATAGGACCCTGTTGTTACAGTGTGCCTTAATGAATAGGACCCTGTTGTTACGGAGTGCCTTAATGAATAGGACCCTGTTGTTACGGTGTGCCTTAACTAATAGGACCCTGTTGTTACGGTGTGCCTCAATGAATGGGACCATGTTGTTACGGTGTGCCTTAACGAATAGGACCCTGTTGTTACGGTGTGCCTTAACGAATAGGACCCTGTTGTTACGGTGTGCCTTAACTAATAGGACCCTGTTGTTACGGTGTGCCTTAATGAATGGGACCCTGTCATTACGGTGTGCCTTAATGAATGGGACCCTGTTGTTACGGTGTGCCTTAACTAATAGGACCCTGTTGTTATGGTGTGCCTTAATGAATAGGACCCTGTTGTTACGGTGTGCCTTAACTAATAGGACCCTGTTGTTACGGTGTGCCTTAATGAATAGGACCATGTTGTTACGGTGTGCCTTAATGAATAGGACCCTGTTGTTACGGTGTGCCTTAATGAATAGGACCCTGTTGTTACGGTGTGCCTTAATGAATAGGACCCTGTTGTTACGGTGTGCCTTAATGAATAGGACCCTGTTGTTACGGTGTGCCTTAACGAATAGGACCCTGTTGTTACGGTGTGCGTTAACGAATAGGACCCTGTTGTTACGGTGTGCCTTAACGAATAGGACCCTGTTGTTACGGTGTGCCTTAATGAATGGGACCCTGTCATTACGGTGTGCCTTAATGAATGGGACCCTGTTGTTACGGTGTGCCTTAACTAATAGGACCCTGTTGTTACGGTGTGCCTTAACTAATAGGACCCTGTTGTTACGGTGTGCCTTAACTAATAGGACCCTGTTGTTGCGGTGTGCCTTAACTAATAGGACCCTGTTGTTGCGGTGTGCCTTAACTAATAGGACCCTGTTGTTACGGTGTGCCTTAACTAATAGGACCCTGTTGTTGCGGTGTGCCTTAACTAATAGGACCCTGTTGTTACGGTGTGCCTTAACGAATAGGACCCTGTTGTTACGGTGTGCCTTAATGAATGGGACCCTGTTGTTACGGTGTGCCTTAAGAAATAGGACCCTGTTGTTACGGTGTGCCTTAATGAATAGGACCCTGTTGTTACGGTATGCCTTAATTAATAGGACCCTGTTGTTACGGTGTGCCTTAACTAATAGGACCCTGTTGTTACGGTATGCCTTAACTAATAGGACCCTGTTGTTACGGTGTGCCTTAACTAATAGGACCCTGTTGTTACGGAGTGCCTTAACGAATAGGACCCTGTTGTTACGGTGTGCCTTAACTAATAGGACCCTGTTGTTACGGTGTGGCTTAATTAATAGGACCCTGTTGTTACGGAGTGCCTTAACGAATAGGACCCTGTTGTTACGGAGTGCCTTAACGAATAGGACCCTGTTGTTACGGTGTGCCTTAATGAATAGGACCCTGTTGTTACGGAGTGCCTTAACGAATAGGACCCTGTTGTTACGGTTTGCCTTAATGAATAGGACCCTGTTGTTACGGTGTGCCTTAACTAATAGGACCCTGTTGTTACGGTGTGGCTTAATTAATAGGACCCTGTTGTTACGGAGTGCCTTAACGAATAGGACCCTGTTGTTATGGTGTGGCTTAATTAATAGGACCCTGTTGTTACGGTGTGGCTTAATTAATAGGACCCTGTTGTTACGGAGTGCCTTAACGAATAGGACCCTGTTGTTACGGAGTGCCTTAACGAATAGGACCCTGTTGTTACGGTGTGCCTTAATGAATAGGACCCTGTTGTTACGGAGTGCCTTAACGAATAGGACCCTGTTGTTACGGTGTGGCTTAATTAATAGGACCCTGTTGTTACGGTGTGGCTTAATTAATAGGACCCTGTTGTTACGGTGTGGCTTAATTAATAGGACCCTGTTGTTACGGTGTTCCTTAACTAATAGGACCCTGTTGTTACGGTGTGCCTTAACTAATAGGACCCTGTTGTGTAAACTGTGTTGTAGCCCTTCCAGGTGCTTCAGTCGACCGAGACAGAGAAGGTTCCGGAGCGGGTGGGTGTGTGTGGGGATGGACTGGCGCAGAACGAAGAAGAGTGTGACGACGGAAACAACGTCATCACTGATGCCTGTCTCAGTAAGGCGCATGCACAGAGAAACACACACACACAGAAACACACACACACACACACTGAGAATCACACACACACACACACACACGCACACACACACTGAGAATCACACACACACAGAAACACACACACTGAGAATCACACACACACACACACACGCACACACACACACTGAGAATCACACACACACAGAAACACACACACTGAGAATCACACACACACACACACACGCACACACACACACTGAGAATCACACACACACAGAAACACACACACTGAGAATCACACACACACACACATATAGAAACACACACACACTGAGAATCACACACACACACAGAAACACACACACACACAGAAACACACACACTGAGAATCACACACACACACATATAGAAACACACACACAATGAGAATCACACACACACGCGCACACACACACACACACACTGAGAATCACACACACACACACAGACTAAGTTTACAGGCAATGACATTGATAAAGTCGCAATAGGAAATGCATGCACTCACACACATACAGTACAGACCAAGAGATACACAGTTACACACACACCAGCCTCTAGCCCTCTATCCAAACAGACAATGACAGAGACAAACCAGGAAATAGAGACCATTACAGTTGTATCATCAGTCTCTCCTCCCCTCTCTTTCCGTCAGCCTGTCACTATTTCTCCAACTTAATTAAATTAGCTTCAAATGCTGTATCAGCATCAACGTAATGCAAAGCAATTAACAATCCCTCCCTCCCGCCCTCTTACTGCTTCCCTCTCTCTCTCTCTCTCTCTCTCTCTATCTATCTCTCTCTCTCTCTCTCCATCTCTCTCTCTCTCTCTCTCTCTCTCTCTCTCTCTCTCTCTCTCTCTCTCTCTCTCTCTCTCTCTCTCTCTCTCTCTCTCTCTCTCTCTCTCTCTCTTTCTATCTCTCACCTTCCCTCAGATTGTAGGTGGGCATACTGTGGAGATGGCTATCGTCATGAGGGCATGGAGGAGTGTGATGGAAAAGACTTTGCCTACCAGACCTGCACATCATATCTCCCTGGGTATGTTCCCAGATTCTCTTTCCACACACACACACACACACACACACACACACACCTGTTATAATGGGTAATCTCTCTTGTTTAAGGTCTTTTGGGCATCTCCGGTGTACTGAGTCCTGTTCCATCGATTCTACTGGCTGCAAATACTTCACCTGAGCCAATGAGAAGATGGCAGCGTTACAGTATTACCAATTGTGATTGGTCCACCTTCAGCGAGCCTCTCTATTTGTGGTCTACACTTCAGCTCTGTTCTGGAGTGTTTCCGGGAAGAAGGACACGCGTAAAGAGAACTTATACCGGACTGAACGTCCGCAGCACTTTTCAGACTGTGTGTACAAAAATTCCTCTAAGCTACCATTGAGGGACAGCTATGGTCACAGGAGACCCCTCTATTCTGTCTGTCTGGGTTTGGCCGCATGACTGGACTGCTCTAGTGGCTTTACCACGGCATCTCTGGCTGTAGTACTGTTAAAGAATATTAGAAGACACTGGTGCTAATTGCGCAATATGTGTTAGCTATACAGTTAGCTATACAGTTAGCTATACAGTATGATTGTAATGTATATAAGCTAAAATATCGCAGTAAAGTTAAGCTTGATGTTTAAAAAAAAGAAAAGGTATTTTACCATGTCCAGCACGTAGCTAGCAACCTCTGACCACTTGTATGAATTTAGACTGAGAGTCAAATGTGACGGAGCCAGTTGACTGTTAATTCAGTGATGGTGTCTTTACCACTCCTCTGCAGAGTGAGCCGTTGACTGTTAATTCAGTGATGGTGTCTTTACCACTCCTCTGCAGAGTGAGTGAAGATGCATTCTGTAACTTTTAGTTAAAAAAAACAAAGGTGCAAGTTGGAACCCAATAAAGTTATTGAGAGCGATGCCATAGCGGAACCGTCTTAGGGTCCGAAGAGCCATAAATGGGAGGGTTTTTAAAGAAACATACAACAATGTTCTGGCCCATCCAGGACCGGAATTGAATAGCCCTGCTGTAGCGTTTTTTTAAGCCTTATTTGCATATTTCCCAGGGTGCCTTTTCGAGTGAATTTTACAGTTACCAGTACCACCCATGAATTTGTTTTGCATTCTTTAATTTTCAGTCCTATAGCCTTCACCAAGTGCGATACTAAGTGAATATGTTGTCATACATTTTTTTTTAGTATTTAAGACAATACAATACATATTTCATAAGGCCTTCTGTTGAGGGCGTAGTTTTACCCTAATACAGTGGTCTGAAACTCCTGGTTTACAGGCCACATCAGGCCTGAAAGTCACATTATGCTGGCTTGCAAAGTGATGTGTAAATCCTATTGGAATCCTGCCAGAGAGGGGATATTCAACATTTGGAATTTTTATTCACCTGCCACCTGCATTCAGAATGACTGCCAGAGTTGGGAAGAAAAAGATATGAGACTACCTTAAACATCTAAACTGGGGACAATCCTTTCAGTAACCGGTACATATGTCCAAGTAACAGATTGGAATAGTTTAGAAAAAGTATTTTATTTATATTTGAGTAGTATAAGATTTAATGAATGAATCAATGTACATGCTAAAACATAGATATTAAAAACAAACAATTTAAAAAATTTAACTGCACTAGAGCATGCTGGGAAATATGATAATGATGGGTGTGGTTTTGGTTAAACTCTGGTTATTAACACCAACACTGGGGTTATTTTACACCTATGAGTGTTAATTTAACTCTTGAATCAACACTATAAATGTTACACTGAAAAATCAACACTAGTTAAGACTGGCCAATTAGCTGTGTGCTATGAAAGGGACACATCTGCAGGCTTCCATACATTTCAAGAACCTTTTAGAATTCTATAGAACCGTAGACGCCGCGTCAAGAACCCCACACTTAACTCAAAGGTTCTTTATCGGGCAAGAGTTCTCCAAGGAACCTTAAGAGCTGAGGAAGAACCCATTTAAGAACCTACATTTTCCAAAGAAGGGTTTGATACTGTATTTATGCAAATTAGGACTGTGTAAATAGCTCTGCTTGTATTTAATCTTTATTTAATTAATTGAGAACACATGTCCTCTCACGATAAGGACCTATTTGTATTTATACATGTATGAAGTGACATTAAATGTGTGTGCTGCCGCTGCATGTTGATGCTTGTGTGTAGGGTGTCCTGTAGAGCAGGACTGTTGATGCTCTGGTCTACTGCAGAGTAGGACTGTTGATGCTCTGGTCTACTGCAGAGTAGGACTGTTGATGCTCTGGTCTACTGCAGAGTAGGACTGTTGATGCTCTGGTCTACTGCAGAGTAGGAGTGTTGATACTCTGGTCTACTGCAGAGTAGGACTGTTGATGCTCTGGTCTACTGCAGAGTAGGACTGTTGATGCTCTGGTCTACTGCAGAGTAGGAGTGTTGATACTCTGGTCTACTGCAGAGTAGGACTGTTGATGCTCTGGTCTACTGCAGAGTAGGAGTGTTGATACTCTGGTCTACTGCAGAGTAGGACTGTTGATCCTCTGGTCTACTGCAGAGTAGGAGTGTTGATGCTCTGGTCTACTGCAGAGTAGGAGTGTTGATGCTCTGGTCTACTGCAGAGTAGGAGTGTTGATGCTCTGGTCTACTGCAGAGTAGGAGTGTTGATACTCTGGTCTACTGCAGAGTAGGACTGTTGATGCTCTGGTCTACTGCAGAGTAGGAGTGTTGATGCTCTGGTCTACTGCAGAGTAGGACTGTGTGCAATAATCTTTGCCTTTTAGCAATAATATGTATTATACATTGTGTGAATTATAGTGTGTTTATGGGCTATTTTATAAAATAATCTGATATCGAACTGTAGCCATTGATGAAGTATGTGAATGTTGCACCAGCATGATACAAATTCAATAACACACGTTGTTTCATCTCTCTCCATATGAAGTTATATTCAACCAGCTTTTGCCAAACTGAGTAGTTGATGGTCTGTTTATTTTTTGTCTAACTGAGAAATGTGAGTTAAAATAAAAAAGTAAATAAAAGTTTCAAAATGCATCCAGGTATTGTTAATCTGTTTATCGTTCACATGTCTGTAATCATTTGAAGGATTCAACATTGATACTTTGAAAGAAGGATCATTATTCTACTGACATGCAAAAGCACAGCCAAGAAATTTTAGAACGACCACTCCCATGAAGGCGGGGAATATGCAAATATACAACCAATCAAACGTACACTTCCTGCAACAACTTGCATGATGAAACGTCACTGCCACGTCTTGACACTGCAGGCGCGCTTGTTCCAGTGAGTGTTCCAAGTTCTACAAGTTTTTAACAACTATCTTTTCAAAACTTATAATTTTTTGCTGATATCAGTTCTGAAATGTTCCTGGCTTGTTTGAGCTGGTTTTGCACCTCGCTGCTAGTGTTCGTCAGTGGAGGGAAACTTCCAGAGGCCGAGGTAAAAATCACAGTTCTGCACAAACCTTTCCTCTGTCATCGCAAGTCGAAGTACGGAGACATTCTGCTGGTACACCATGAAGGATATCTTCAAAATGGAACAAAGTTTCATTCCAGGTTAGTTTGTTATGAAAACAACAATTGAAGGAAGGGTTTCCTGAACCTATAAACAGTTTTAAACAGTCAAATACATGTTTGTGCGTGTGTCCAGCTACACCCAGGGAGACAAGCAGCCTGTCTGGTTCACTCTGGGTATTAAAGAGGCGATCAAGGGATGGGATAAGGGTCTGCAGGGGATGTGTGCTGGAGAGAAGAGACGCCTCATAGTACCTCCTGCCCTCGCTTACGGCAAGGAGGGGAAAGGTAGGCGACGCGCACGGCAGGTGTTGCCACTTGCCGCTGCACTAAACTGTCACTTCACTCACTCACACCCACCACCACTGTAATGTACATATAATAACATAACACACACAGATGGCACTAATTAACTTCATCTCTCTCCTCTACGGCGTCGTCGTAGGGTAGAAACGTTGAATGAAGGTTGTGCTACTAACTAATGCTCTGTGACGTCTTCCCAGCGTGGCGCATGTGAACTATGCTGTGCTTTGCCCTGGTAAGCACTCCCACAACCTAACCCTCACCTACTTCTAATAGCCTACATCACTTTTCTTTTATTTCAAGAATGTTCCAGTGTTGGCACATCCTTATTAGTCTCAGGGTGTTTTCACATAGAGTCCTCTTTTAAAAGAACCCATCTAAGTCCTCTTTTAAAAGAACCCATCTCAGTCCTCTTTTAAAAGAACCCATCTCGGTCCTCTTTTAAAAGAACCCATCTCGGTCCTCTTTTAAAAGAACCCATCTCGGTCCTCTTTTAAAAGAACCCATCTCAGTCCTCTTTTAAAAGAACCCATCTCAGTCCTCTTTTAAAAGAACCCATCTCAGTCCTCTTTTAAAAGAACCCATCTCAGTCCTCTTTTAAAAGAACCCATCTCAGTCCTCTTTAAAGTGAACTCTGGGGTAAAAAAATAAATTTAAAAAAGCTAAAGAACTCGGTCCTCTGTGTTCACACTGCCCTTGCCTTTGAAGGAGGACTCAACTCTTTTGCCGGTTCACTTCACCTATTTTGTGGTCCGTGTCCTCTTTGCATTCACATTGCTATGTTTAGAAAAGGAACCAAGATATTTTTCCAACATTCCCTCAATGCACTCTGGGTTTTTACAAAGTGCTGGACAAAGCCATTCCATCAGAAGGCGTTATCGGACAGCTAGATAGATATACAGTAACTACTTACACTTCGGAGCTAATAGATTACATTTAGTTAAAACACGAGGCATAATAATTGTAATCAGAAGATACTATTAACATGTAAATATTATTTGTAACTGTAAATAAATAGCAGAAGAATAACTGCAGATTTAAATAATGCTGTCGTTGAAAATTGTACACCCAATGTAGGTTACTGCCCCTTTAATGGCTAGAATTGATTTTATAGCCTACCCTATGTTGTGGTTCTCACCAAATATGTTGTTGTCTTCTCACACTATTTAAACCCAACAATGGAATAAATAAAGCTCTCTTAGCCTATAGTTCACACATTGCAAAAAAATATTCGGAATTAAAAACAGCATATGTTTTTTCCGCAAACCTGCACATCATCATATTTTCTCTTTTTTTGGCACCAATGTGAGGGGATATGGCAGTAGTCTAGTGTGAGGGGTTATGGCAGTAGTCTAGTGTGAGGGGTTATGGCAGGGGGGGGGTAGGAGTAGTCCTAGTGTGAGGGGTTATGGCAGTAGTCTAGTGTGAGGGTTATGGCAGTAGTCCTAGTGTGAGGGGTTATGGCATAGTCTAGTGTGAGGGGTTATGGCAGTAGTCTAGTTGTGAGGGGTTATGGCCAGTAGTCTAGTGTGAGGGTTATGGCAGTAGTCTAGTGAAGGGTTATGGCAGTAGTCTAGTGGTGAGGGGTTATGGCATTAGTCTAGTGTGAGGGGTTTATGGCAGTAGTCTAGTGTGAGGGGTTATGGCAGTAGTCTAGTGTGAGGGGTCATGGCAGTAGTCTAGTGTGAGGGGTTATGGCAGTAGTCTAGTGTGAGGGGTTATGGCAGGGGAAACAGTGTTGCAGTAGTCTAGTGTGAGGGGTTATGGCAGTAGTCTCGTGTGAGGGGTTATGACAGGGGAAACAAACCTATTGAGATGGTCTCAGTTCGGTTCGCTTCGGGGTCTCTTGTGTGGGGTCTGAGTTCAAAGATTGTCTGAATGGACGAAGTGTGAAAACACCCTTACATGCTTCCTCTCCTTGTCTGCTTTCCTTGGTCCACTTTTACTGGTTAGCTGAAAGCACAGTCCTGGGAGGCATCAGACATAATGCTTTCAGCTATACCTTCTTTTAGAACTGAGTCCCGGCCTAGCATTCCCGTGACCTATGACCCTGATGTTGTGACCCCTCACCCCTGAGCTCTGTCCTCAGGTAAGATCCCACCAGAGAGCACCCTGACCTTTAACATCGAGGTGATGGAGATCAGGAACGGACCCAGGTCACATGAGTCCTTCCAGGAAATGGACCTTAACGATGACTGGAAACTCTCCAAGGACGAGGTGAGAACACAAACACACTAACAACACACACTAACAAACAACACACAGTAACATTATGCTGTCTCTCATACTTCAAACAGGTAAGTGGATCCTCTTCTCTGTCACACACACATACTGTTTTTTCACCAGGTGAAGGGATTCTCTCTCTCTCTCTCTCGTTCTCTCACACAGACGCACACCTTACTGTATGTTCTGACTGCATGCCTCCCTTTCCTCCCAGGTGAAGGAGTACCTGAGGAAGGAGTTTCAGCGCCATGGCTACCCTCCCAACGACACCCATCATGAGCAGATGGTGGAGGACATCTTTAAGAAGGAGGATGAGAATGAGGACGGCTTCATCTCCTCTAGAGAGTTCACCTACAAACACGATGAACTTTAACCTCTGACCTAGTCCCCTATACTTATGGAACAAGAGTTTTTCCTGGTCAGGTCAAACTTGAGACCCTACTTAGGCCTATATCCGTTCAGGGTAAAAGTTGCCCTTAGGCACAGATCTAGGATCAGTTTATGTTCCCCAAATCAAATAATAATAATAATAATATAATAATATGCCATTTAGCAGACACTTTTATCCAAAGCGACTTACAGTCATGCGTGCATACATTTTTTGTGTATGGGTGGTCCCGGGGATCGAACCCACTACCTTGGCGTTACAAGCGCCGTGCTCTACCAGCTGAGCTACAGAGGACCACAAATGCACAGAACATAGGAAACTGACCTTAGATCAGCGTCAAAGGGCAACGTCGTCTTACGTCCTGAAAGTGCCCAGTCCAAAACTGAATCTAGTGCCTTACAGGTTACTTGAAAATGATATGTTAATTCTTACATTACACAAGCTGTGTGAATTGTGATGCTAGTGTGTGTGATATTTTGGTTATAGTTTATTTGAAAGTTTGTTTATAGAAACTGCTTATAAAACCATTATTGAATATTTGGTTAACCATTGATTTAACTGTTTTAGGGGCCCTGAGTTTTGTTTATCTACAACATTAAAATGTGTTGCAAGAAGGTATATAATGTAAAACATTGATCACAGGATAACACATTTGCGATCTAGTTTATAACAATATCTTAGCGGTACCTGTGTTTTCGCTGATAATGTATTTTGTGTTGGAACTTTGGAAAAGAAAATCAATAAAGTGACTGCCATATTTTCACACAAAACAAAACAATACATTTTATTCACTGGTAATACTTGAGAATACCTTATCACGTTTAACCACTAGGTGGCACTGCTTACCAACGTGTTAGTGTTGACGATAGTGTACGTCGACAGAGCCTGAGGTGTTCAGCCCCTAGTTACTGACAGGAGCTTTTCCTGGTCAGTTCGGGCGGTGATAGTGCAGGGAAAAACATTGCTAATACATTTTATAAAAAGGTATAATGTAGTATAACACAACAATCCAAATATAGGGAGTCATAACGGCACTATGAAAACACTTCAATACATCCACATTGTCCTAACATTGGAGAAGTAGTTATTACACAACAGGTTGAAAGGCATTGATATTTCTACTGAGAATGTCTCGTTCACTAGCTCTTTACTTCTCTTCTTATTTTTTTTATTTATTGTGTTTTTTGATCTACCTGGTGTTATTTTTGTGCTACGTTGATATTAATTACCGCATTGTTGGTTTTAGAGGTTGCGTAGAAAGTCATTTCACTGTACTACTTGCAATTCAATTTTAATCTATGTGTTGAAAGTATAAGGGACTGCTTGTGTGTAACTGATGCCACGTTTTCTGCCTTGAGCAGAAACAACTGAGATCCCATAGCAGAGAAATAATAGATGTAGAATGTGTGCATACGTTGCAGATCTGCTGGGTGAGTGTGTGAGAGAGAGAGAGAGACATACAGCTGAAGTCAGAAGTTTACATACACCTAAGCCAAATACATTTAAACTCAGTTTTTCACAATTCCTGACATTTAATCCTAGTAACAATTCCCTGTCTTAGGTCAGTTAGGATCATGACTTTATTTTAAGAATGTGAAATGTCAGAATAATAGTAGAGAGAATGACTTATTTCAGCTTTTATTTATTTCATCACATTCCCAGTGGGTCAGAAGTTTACATACACTCAATTAGTATTTGGTAGCATTGCCTTTAAATTGTTTAACTTGGGTCAAACGTTTCGGGTAGCCTTCCACAAGCTTCCCACAATAAGTTGGGTGAATTTTGGCCCATTCCTTCTGACGGAGCTGGTGTAACTGAGTCAGGTTTGTAGGCCTCCTTGCTCGCACACACTTTTTCAGTTGTGCCCACACATTTTCTATAGGATTGAGGTCAGGGCTTTGTGATGGCCACTCCAATACCTTGACTTTGTTGTCCTTAAGCCATTTGGTCATTGTCCATTTGGAAGACCCATTTGTGACCAAGCTTTAACTTCCTGACTGATGTCTTGAGATGTTGCTTCAAAATATCCACATAATTATCCTTCCTCATGATGCCATCTATTTTGTGAAGTGAACCAGTCCCTCCTGCAGCAAAGCACCCCCACAGCATGATGCTGCCACCCCCGTGCTTCACGGTTGGGATGGTGTTCTTCGGCTTGCAAGTACCCCCTTTTTCCTCCAAACATAACAATGGTCATTATGGCCAAACAGTTCTATTTTTGTTTCATCAGACCAGAGGATATTTCTCAAAAAGTACGATCTTTGTCCCCATGTGCAGTTGCAAACCGTAGTCTGGCTTATTTATGGCGGTTTTGGAGCAGTGGCTTCTTCCTTGCCGAGCGGCCTTTCATGTTATGTCGATATAGGACTCGTTTTACTGTAGATATAGACACTTTTGTACCTGTTTCCTCCAGCATCTTCACAAGGTCCTTTGCTGTTGTTCTGGGATTGATTTGCACTTTTCGCACCAAAGTACGTTCATCTCTAGGAGACAGAACGCGTCTCCATCCTGAGCGGTATGATGGCTGCGTGGTCCCATGGTGTTTATACTTGCGTACTATTGTTTGTACAGATGAACGTGGTACCTTCAGAAATTGTTCCCAAGGATGAACCAGACTTGTGGAGGTCTACACATTTTTTTCTGAGGTCTTGGCTGATTTCTTTTGAGTATCCCATGATGTCAAGCAAAGAGGCACTTGAAATACATTCACAGGTACACCTCCAATTGACTGAAATTATGTCAATTAGCCTATCAGAAGCTTCTAAAGCCATGACATCATTTTCTGGAATTTTCCAAGCTGTTTAAAGACAGTCAACTTAGTGTATGTAAACTTCTGACCTACTGGAATTGTGATACAGTGAATTATAAGTGAAATAATCTGTCTGTAAACAATTGTTGGAAAAATGACTTGTGTCATGCACAAAGTAGATGTCCTAACCGACTTGCCAAAACTTTTAATGACTCCAACCTAAGTGTATGTAAACTTCCGACTTCAACTGTGTGTGTGTATATATATATATATATATATATATATATACAGTGGGGGAAAAAAGTATTTAGTCAGCCACCAATTGTGCAAGTTCTCCCACTTAAAAAGATGAGAGGCCTGTAATTTTCATCATAGGTACACGTCAACTATGACAGACAAAATGAGGAAAAAAAATCCAGAAAATCACATTGTAGGATTTTTAATGAATTTATTTGCAAATTATGGTGGAAAATAAGTATTTGGTCAATAACAAAAGTTTCTCAATACTTTGTTATATACCCTTTGTTGGCAATGACACAGGTCAAACGTTTTCTGTAAGTCTTCACAAGGTTTTCACACACTGTTGCTGGTATTTTGGCCCATTCCTCCATGCAGATCTCCTCTAGAGCAGTGATGTTTTGGGGCTGTCGCTGGGCAACACGGACTTTCAACTCCCTCTAAAGATTTTCTACGGGGTTGAGATCTGGAGACTGGCCAGGCCACTCCAGGACCTTGAAATGCTTCTTACGAAGCCACTCCGTTGCCTGGGCGGTGTGTTTGGGATCATTGTCATGCTGAAAGACCCAGCCACGTTTCATCTTCAATGCCCTTGCTGATGGAAGGAGGTTTTCACTCAAAATCTCACGATACATGGCCCTATTCATTCTTTCCTTTACACGGATCAGTCGTCCTGGTCCCTTTGCAGAAAAACAGCCCCAAAGCATGATGTTTCCACCCCCATGCTTCACAGTAGGTATGGTGTTCTTTGGATGCAACTCAGCATTCTTTGTCCTCCAAACACGACGAGTTGAGTTTTTACCAAAAAGTTCTATTTTGGTTTCATCTGACCATATGACATTCTCCCAATCCTCTTCTGGATCATCCAAATGCACTCTAGCAAACTTCAGACGGGCCTGGACATGTACTGGCTTAAGCAGGGGGACACGTCTGGCACTGCAGGATTTGAGTCCCTGGCGGCGTAGTGTGTTACTGATGGTAGGCTTTGTTACTTTGGTCCCAGCTCTCTGCAGGTCATTCACTAGGTCCCCCCGTGTGGTTCTGGGATTTTTGCTCACCGTTCTTGTGATCATTTTGACCCCACGGGGTGAGATCTTGTGTGGAGCCCCAGATCGAGGGAGATTATCAGTGGTCTTGTATGTCTTCCATTTCGTAATAATTGCTCCCACAGTTGATTTCTTCAAACCAAGCTGATTCCTGGCTCCCCATCCAGCACCCTCACCCCTTACCCCAGCCCTCCACCCCTCCTCCCCCCACCCCCTCCTCCCTCCATGCCCCCCTCCTCCCTCCCCAACCGGAACTCTGAATATCTCAAGCAGATTCAGTCTTCCCAGCCTGGTGCAGGTCTACAATTTTGTTTCTGGTGTCCTTTGTCAGCTCTTTGGTCTTGGCCATAGTGGAGTTTGGAGTGTGACTGTTTGAGGTTGTGGACAGGTGTCTTTTATACTGATAACAAGTTCAAACAGGTGCCATTAATACATATAACGAGTGGAGGACAGAGGAGCCTCTTAAAGAAGAAGTTACAGGTCTGTGAGAGCCAGAAATCTTGCTTGTTTGTAGGTGACCAAATACTTATTTTCCACCATAATTTGCAAATAAATTCATTAAAAATCCTACAATGTGATTTTCTGGATTTTTTTTTCTCAATTTGTCTGTCATAGTTGACGTGTACCTATGATGAAAATTACAGGCCTCTCTCATCTTTTTAAGTGGGAGAACTTGCACAATTGGTGGCTGACTAAATACTTTTTTCCCCCACTGTATATATATATACACTGCTCAAAAAAATTAAGGGAACACTTAAACAACACAATGTAACTCCAAGTCAATCACAGATGTTTTGGTCACTTTTGAATGCTGGCGGTGCTTTCACTCTAGTGGTAGCTAGGAGTCTACAACCCACACAAGTGGCTCAGGTAGTGCAGCTCATCCAGGATGGCACATCAATGCGAGCTGTGGCAAGAAGGTTTGCTGTGTCTGTCAGCGTAGTGTCCAGAGCATGGAGGCGCTACCAGGAGACAGGCCAGTACATCAGGAGACGTGGAGGAGGCCGTAGGAGGGCAACAACCCAGCAGCAGGACTGCTACCTCCGCCTTTGTGCAAGGAGGAGCAGGAGGAGCACTGCCAGAGCCCTGCAAAATGACCTCCAGCAGGCCACAAATGTGCATGTGTCTGCTCAAACGGTCAGAAACAGACTCCATGAGGGTGGTATGAGGGCCCGATGTCCACAGGTGGGGGTTGTGCTTACAGCCCAACACCGTGCAGGACGTTTGGCATTTGCCAGAGAACACCAAGATTGGCAAATTCGCCACTGGCGCCCTGTGCTCTTCACAGATGAAAGCAGGTTCACACTGAGCACACGTGACAGACGTGACAGAGTCTGGAGACGCCGTGGAGAACGTTCTGCTGCCTGCAACATCCTCCAGCATGACCGGTTTGGCGGTGGGTCAGTCATGGTGTGGGGTGGCATTTCTTTGTGGGGCCGCACAGCCCGCCATGTGCTCGCCAGAGGTAGCCTGACTGCCATTAGGTACCGAGATGAGATCCTCAGACCCCTTGTGAGACCATATGCTGGTGCGGTTGGCCCTGGGTTCCTCCTAATGCAAGACAATGCTAGACCTCATGTGGCTGGAGTGTGTCAACAGTTCCTGCAAGAGGCAGGCATTGATGCTATGGACTGGCCCGCCCGTTCCCCAGACCTGAATCCAATTGAGCACATCTGGGACATCATGTCTCGCTCCATCCACCAATGTCACGTTGCACCACAGACTGTCCAGGAGTTGGCGGATGCTTTAGTCCAGGTCTGGGAGGAGATCCCTCAGGAGACCATCCGCCACCTCATCAGGAGCATGCCCAGGCGTTGTAGGGAGGTCATACAGGCACGTGGAGGCCACACACACTACTGAGCCTCATTTTGACTTGTTTTAAAGGACATTACATCAAAGTTGGATCAGCCTGTAGTGTGGTTTTCCACTTTAATTTTGAGGGTGACTCCAAATCCAGACCTCCATGGGTTGATACATTTGATTTCCATTGATCATTTTTGTGTGATTTTGTTGTCAGCACATTCAACTATGTAAAGAAAAGTATTTAATAAGATTATTTCATTCATTCAGATCTAGGATGTATTATTTTAGTGTTCCCTTAATTTTTTTGAGCAGTGTATATATATAGAGAGAGAGACATATACATATATATATATATACATACATACACACACACACACACATATATACATACATATATATATATATATATAGAGAGAGAGAGAGAGTACCAGTCAAAGGTTTGGACACACCTACTCATTCAAGGGTTTTTCTTTATTTGTTCTATTTTCTACATTGTAGAATAATAGTGAAGACATCAAAACTATGAAATAACACATATGGAATCATGTAGTAACCAAAAAAGTGTTAAACAAATCCAAATATGTTTTATGTTAGAGTTTCTTCAAAGTAGCGACCCTTTGCCTTGATGACAGCTTTACACAATCTTGGCATTCTCTCAACCAGCTTCATGAGGTAGTCACCTGTAATGCATTTCAATTAACAGGTGTGCCTTGTTAAAAGTTAATTTGTGGAATTTCTTTCCTTCTTAATACGTTTAAGCCAATCAGTTGTGTTGTGACAAGGTAGGGTTGGTATACAGAAGATAGCCCTATTTGGTAAAAGACCAAATCCATATTATGGCAAGAACAGCTCAAATAAGCAAAGAGAAACGACAGTCCATCATTATTTTAAGACATGAAGGTCAGTCAATCCGGAAAATTTCAAGAACTTTGAAAGTTTATTCAAGTGCAGTTGCAAAAACCATCAAGCGCTATGATGAAACTGGCTCTCATGAGGACCGCCACAGGAAAGGAAGACCCAGAGTTACCTCTGCTGCAAAGGATAAGTTCATTAGAGTTACCAGCCTCAGAAATTGCAGCCCAAATAAATGCTTCACAGAGTTGAAGTAACAGACACATCTCAACATCAACTGTTCAGAGGAGACTGCGTGAATCAGGCCTTCGTGGTCGAATTGCTGCAAAGAAACCACTACTAAAGGACACCAATAGGAAGAAGAGACTTGCTTGGGCCAAGAAACACGAGCAATGGACATTAGACCGGTGGAAATCTGTCCTTTGGTCTGATGAGTCCACATTTGAGATTTGTGGTTTCAACCGCCGTGTCTTTGTGAGATGCAGAGTAGGGAACGGATGATCTCTGCATGTGTGGTTCCCACCGTGAAGCATGGAGGAGGAGGTGTGATGGTGTGGGGATGCTTTGCTGGTGACACTGTCAGTGATTTATTTAGAATTCAAGGCACACTTAACCAGCATGGCACCCACAGCATTCTGCAGCGATACACCATCCCATCTGGTTTGCGCTTAGTGGGACTAACATTTGTTTTTCAACATGACAATGACCCAACACACCTCCAGGCTGTGTAAAGGCTATTTGACAAAGAAGGAGAGTGATGGAGTGCTGCATCAGATGACCTGAACTCCACAATCACCCGACCTCAACCCAATTGAGATGGTTTGGGATGAGTTGGACCGCAGAGTGAAGGAAAAGCAGCCAACAAGTGCTCAGCATATGTGGGAACTCCTTCAAGACTGTTGGAAAAGCATTCCAGGGGAAGCTGGTTGAGAGAATGCCAAGAGTGTGCAAAGCTGTCATCAAGGCAAAGGGTGGCTTCTTTGAAGAATCTCAAATATAAAATATATTTTGATTTGTTTAACATGTTTTGCTTACTACATGATTCCATATGTGTTATTTCATAGTTTTGATGTCTTCACTATTATTCTACAATGTAGAAAATAGTAAAAAATTAAGAAAAACCCTTGAATGAGTAGGTGTGTCCAAACTTTTGACTGGTACTGTATACATATATATAGAGAGAGAGAGCGAGACGGCGAGACAGAGAGACACAGAGAGAGAGAGAGAGAGAGAGAGAGAGAGACAGAGACAGAGACAGAGAGAGAGAGAGAGAGAACAGACACTGTAGGGACAGCCCTCCTCTCACACACATTCAAAACATTCCACACTGGAGAAGGTTGGAGGTCACATAGCCAGCACTGGGTGTGACACAGTATTGTATTCGCCACAAGATCACACACACCCAACACACACACCACACACACCACACACACCACACACACACACACACACACACCAAACACACACACACCAAACAGACATACACACTGTCTCAATTATCTGTCCATGAGCATGGCCCCTGGGGACAGAGGAAGAGGATAATGTAGAATGAAGAGGCTGTGTTGTCTCACTGCATCACCGTAGCTGTGTCCTGATCCCTGGGGGGAGAAGAGAGGAGAGGATGGAGAAAAGGAACTACATCAGATAAATAGAAAAATGAAGACAAGAGCATGCTGATACATACACACACACAGAAACATTTCCATACACACACACACACACACCACACACACACACACACACACACACACACACCACACACACACACACAGAAACATTTCCATACACACACACACACACACACACAGAAACATTTCCATACACACACACACACACACACACACACAGAGAAACATTTCCATACACACACACACACACACACACACACAGAAACATTTCCATACACACACACAACACACACCACACAGAGAAACATTTCCATACCACACACACACAAGAAACATTTCCATACACACACACACACACCCCACACAGAGAAACATTTCCATACACACACACACACACACACCACACACAAAAACATTTCCATACACACAGAAACATTTCCATACACACACACACAGAATCATTTCCATACACACACACACACACACAGAGAAACATTTCCATACACACACACACACAGAAACATTTCCATACACACACACACACACAGAGAAACATTTCCATACACACACACACACACACACACACACACACACACAGAAACATTTCCATACACACAGAAACATTTCCATACACACACACACACAGAAACATTTCCATACACACACACACACACACACACACAGAAACATTTCCATACACACAGAAACATTTCCATACACACACACACCACAGAAACATTTCCATACACACAGAAACATTTCCATACACACACAGAAACATTTCCATACACACAGAAACATTTCCATACACACACACACACAGAAACATTTCCATACACACACACACACACACACACAGAAACATTTCCATACACACACACACACAGAAACATTTCCATACACACACACACACACACACACATACACACAGAAACATTTCCATACACACAGAAACATTTCCATACACACACACACACACACACACACACACATCATTTACATTACATTTACATTTTAGTCATTTAGCAGACGCTCTTAACCAGAGCGACTTACAGGAGCAATTAGGGTTAAGTGCCTTGCTCAAGGGCACATTAACGTCATTTAGCAGACGCTCTTAGCCAGAGCGACTCACAAATTGGTGCGTTCACCCTATAGCCAGTGGGATAACCACTTTACAATTTGGGGGGGGGGGGGGGGGGGTTAGAAGGAATACTTTAGCCTATCCCAGGTATTCCTTAAAGAGGTGGGGTTTCAAATGTCTCCGGAAGGTGGTGAGTGACTCCGCTGTCCTGGCGTCGTGAGGGAGCTTGTTCCACCATTGGGGTGCCAGAGCAGCGAACAGTTTTGACTGGGCTGAGCGGGAGCTGTGCTTCCGCAGAGGAAGGGGAGCCAGCAGGCCAGAGGTGGATGAACGCAATGTCCTCGTTTGGGTGTAGGGACTGATCAGAGCCTGAAGGTACAGGGGTGCCGTTCCCCTCACTGCTCCAAAGGCAAGCACCATGGTCTTGTAGCGGATGCGAGCTTCAATTGGAAGCCAGTGGAGTGTGCGGAGGAGGGGGGTGACGTGAGAGAACTTGGGAAGGTTGAACACCAGACGGGCTGCGGCATTCTGGATGAGTTGTAGGGGTTTAATGGCACAGGCAGGGAGCCCAGCCAACAGCGAGTTGCAGTAGTCCAGACGGGAGATGACAAGTGCCTGGACCAGGACCTGCGCCGCTTCCTGTGTAAGGCAGGGTCGCACTCTCCGAATGTTACACACACATACACACACACACACACACACACACAGAAACATTTCCATACACACAGAAACATTTCCATACACACACACACAGAAACATTTCCATACACACAGAAACATTTCCATACACACACACACACACAGAAACATTTCCATACACACACACACACACACACACACACACACACATACACACAGAAACATTTCCATACACACAGAAACATTTCCATACACACACACACACAGAAACATTTCCATACACACACACACACACACACACACACACATACACACACAGAAACATTTCCATACACACAGAAACATTTCCATACACACACACACACACACACACACACACACTCACACAAACATTTCCATACATACACACACACAAACATTTCCATATACACACACACACAAACATTTCCATACATACACACACACACACACACACACACAGACTGTTGGAAAAGCATTCCAGGTGAAGCTGGTTGAGAGAATGCCAAGAGTGTGCAAAGCTGTCATCAAGGCAAAGGGTGGCTATTTGAAGAATCTCAAATATAACTTAAATTTTGATTTGTTTAACACTTTTTGGGTTACTACATGATTCCATATGTGTTATTTCATAGTTTTGATGTCTTCACTATTATTCTACAATGTAGAAAATAGTAAAAATAAAAAATAAACCTTGAATGAGTAGGTGTTCTAAAACTTTTGACCGGTAGTGTACAAACATACAAACACACACACACACACACACACACACACACACACACACACACAAGGAAACACTTCGTGCCCCCACCTCCTCGGTTCTCTCTGCTGGGGTAGATGCGTGGAAAGGGCCTGAACTCCTCTGGAGGGGGAAAATCTTCTATTGGGTGGAAATGAAATTTAGACTCAAAGTCATCTGAAAGACCAGAGAGGGAGAGACAGATTAACACACTGAGAAAAAACACCACTAACACAGAGACAGATTAACACACTGAGAAAAGACACCACTAACAATGAGACAGATTAACACACTGAGAAAAGACACCACTAACAATGAGACAGATTAACACAGTGAGAAAAGACATCACTAACACAGAGACAGATTAACACACTGAGAAAAAACACCACTAACACACAGACAGATTAACACAGTGAGAAAAGACACCACTAACAATGAGACAGATTAACACACTGAGAAAAGACACCACTAACAATGAGACAGATTAACACAGTGAGAAAAGACATCACTAACAATGAGACAGATTAACACACTGAGAAAAGACACCACTAACAATGAGACAGATTAACACAGTGAGAAAAGACACCACTAACAAAAAGACAGATTAACACACTGAGAAAAGACACCACTAACAATGAGACAAATTAACACACTGAGAAAAGACACCACTAACACAGAGACAGATTAACACACTGAGAAAAAACACCACTAACACAGAGACAGATTAACACACTGAGAAAAAACACCACTAACACACAGACAGATTAACACAGTGAGAAAAGACACCACTAACAATGAGACAGATTAACACACTGAGAAAAGACACCACTAACAATGAGACAGATTAACACAGTGAGAAAAGACATCACTAACAATGAGACAGATTAACACACTGAGAAAAGACACCACTAACAATGAGACAGATTAACACAGTGAGAAAAGACACCACTAACAAAGAGACAGATTAACACACTGAGAAAAGACACCACTAACAATGAGACAGATTAACACACTGAGAAAAGACACCACTAACAATGAGACAGATTAACACACTGAGAAAAGACACCACTAACAATGAGACAGATTAACACAGTGAGAAAAGACATCACTAACAATGAGACAGATTAACACACTGAGAAAAGACACCACTAACAATGAGTCAGATTAACACACTGAGAAAAGACACCACTAACAATGAGACAGATTAACACAGTGAGAAAAAACACCACTAACAAAGAGACAGATTAACACACTGAGAAAAGACACCACTAACAATGAGACAGATTAACACAGTGAGAAAAGACATGAATACCACAGAGACAGATTAACACACTGAGAAAAGACACCACTAACAATGAGACAGATTAACACACTGAGAAAAGACACCACTAACAATGAGACAGATTAACACACTGAGAAAAGACACCACTAACAATGAGACAGATTAACACACTGAGAAAAGACACCACTAACAATGAGACAGATTAACACACTGAGAAAAGACACCACTAACAATGAGACAGATTAACATACTGAGAAAAAACACCACTAACACAGAGACAGATTAACACACTGAGAAAAGACACCACTAACAATGAGACAGATTAACACACTGAGAAAAGACACCACTAACAATGAGACAGATTAACACAGTGAGAAAAGACATCACTAACACAGAGACAGATTAACACACTGAGAAAAAACACCACTAACACACAGACAGATTAACACAGTGAGAAAAGACACCACTAACAATGAGACAGATTAACACACTGAGAAAAGACACCACTAACAATGAGACAGATTAACACAGTGAGAAAAGACATCACTAACAATGAGACAGATTAACACACTGAGAAAAGACACCACTAACAATGAGACAGATTAACACAGTGAGAAAAGACACCACTAACAAAAAGACAGATTAACACACTGAGAAAAGACACCACTAACAATGAGACAGATTAACACACTGAGAAAAGACACCACTAACACAGAGACAGATTAACACACTGAGAAAAAACACCACTAACACAGAGACAGATTAACACACTGAGAAAAAACACCACTAACACACAGACAGATTAACACAGTGAGAAAAGACACCACTAACAATGAGACAGATTAACACACTGAGAAAAGACACCACTAACAATGAGACAGATTAACACAGTGAGAAAAGACATCACTAACAATGAGACAGATTAACACACTGAGAAAAGACACCACTAACAATGAGACAGATTAACACAGTGAGAAAAGACACCACTAACAAAGAGACAGATTAACACACTGAGAAAAGACACCACTAACAATGAGACAGATTAACACACTGAGAAAAGACACCACTAACAATGAGACAGATTAACACACTGAGAAAAGACACCACTAACAATGAGACAGATTAACACAGTGAGAAAAGACATCACTAACAATGAGACAGATTAACACACTGAGAAAAGACACCACTAACAATGAGTCAGATTAACACACTGAGAAAAGACACCACTAACAATGAGACAGATTAACACAGTGAGAAAAAACACCACTAACAAAGAGACAGATTAACACACTGAGAAAAGACACCACTAACAATGAGACAGATTAACACAGTGAGAAAAGACATGAATACCACAGAGACAGATTAACACACTGAGAAAAGACACCACTAACAATGAGACAGATTAACACACTGAGAAAAGACACCACTAACAATGAGACAGATTAACACACTGAGAAAAGACAACACTAACAATGAGACAGATTAACACACTGAGAAAAGACACCACTAACAATGAGACAGATTAACATACTGAGAAAAGACACCACTAACACAGAGACAGATTAACACACTGAGAAAAGACACCACTAACAAAGAGACAGATTAACACACTGAGAAAAGACACCACTAACAATGAGACAGATTAACACACTGAGAAAAGACACCACTAACAATGAGACAGATTAACACACTGAGAAAAGACACCACTAACAATGAGACAGATTAACACAGTGAGAAAAGACATCACTAACAATGAGACAGATTAACACAGTGAGAAAAGACACCACTAACAAAGAGACAGATTAACACACTGAGAAAAGACACCACTAACACAGAGACAGATTAACACACTGAGAAAAGACACCACTAACAATGAGACAGATTAACACACTGAGAAAAGACACCACTAACAATGAGACAGATTAACACAGTGAGAAAAGACACCACTAACAAAGAGACAGATTAACACACTGAGAAAAGACACCACTAACAATGAGACAGATTAACACACTGAGAAAAGACACCACTAACAATGAGACAGATTAACACACTGAGAAAAGACACCACTAACATGAGACAGATTAACACAGTGAGAAAAGACATCACTAACAATGAGACAGATTAACACACTGAGAAAAGACACCACTAACAATGAGTCAGATTAACACACTGAGAAAAGACACCACTAACAATGAGACAGATTAACACAGTGAGAAAAAACACCACTAACAAAGAGACAGATTAACACACTGAGAAAAGACACCACTAACAATGAGACAGATTAACACAGTGAGAAAAGACATGAATACCACAGAGACAGATTAACACACTGAGAAAAGACACCACTAACAATGAGACAGATTAACACACTGAGAAAAGACACCACTAACAATGAGACAGATTAACACACACTGAGAAAAGACACCACTAACAATGAGACAGATTAACACACTGAGAAAAGACACCACTAACAATGAGACAGATTAACACACTGAGAAAAGACACCACTAACAATGAGACAGATTAACACAGTGAGAAAAGACACCACTAACAATGAGACAGATTAACACACTGAGAAAAGACACCACTAACAAAGAGACAGATTAACACAGTGAGAAAAGACATCACTAACAATGAGACAGATTAACACACTGAGAAAAGACACCACTAACACAGAGACAGGTTAACACACTGAGAAAAAACACCACTAACACACAGACAGATTAACACAGTGAGAAAAAACACCACTAACAAAGAGACAGATTAACACACTGAGAAAAGACACCACTAACAATGAGACAGATTAACACAGTGAGAAAAGACATGAATACCACAGAGACCGATTAACACACTGAGAAAAGACACCACTAACAATGAGACAGATTAACACACTGAGAAAAGACACCACTAACAATGAGACAGATTAACACACACTGAGAAAAGACACCACTAACAATGAGACAGATTAACACACTGAGAAAAGACACCACTAACAATGAGACAGATTAACACACTGAGAAAAGACACCACTAACAATGAGACAGATTAACACAGTGAGAAAAGACACCACTAACAATGAGACAGATTAACACACTGAGAAAAGACACCACTAACAAAGAGACAGATTAACACACTGAGAAAAGACACCACTAACAGTGAGACAGATTAACACACTGAGAAAAGACACCACTAACAATGAGACAGATTAACACAGTGAGAAAAGACACCACTAACAATGAGACAGATTAACACAGTGAGAAAAGACACCACTAACACAGAGACAGATTAACACAGTGAGAAAAGACACCACTAACACAGAGACAGATTAACACACTGAGAAAAGACACCACTAACACAGAGACAGATTAACACACTGAGAAAAGACACCACTAACACAGAGACAGATTAACACACTGAGAAAAGACACCACTAACACAGAGACAGATTAACACACTGAGAAAAGACACCACTAACAATGAGACAGATTAACACAGTGAGAAAAGACACCACTAACAATGAGACAGATTAACACAGTGAGAAAAGACAGTGTGTGTTACACAACGTGCAGTGGGCACAGAGTGCACTGCTATTAAAACCACTTACATTTCATAATGTAGACTCTACAACTTTAAACCCCCACAATTTATAGCAATCTCCACTCAACTTCAACCAACTGTTATAAAACCCGTTTTACTTTAGCAGTTGTCACAAAGTGCGTCGCTGACACCCAGCCCAAAAGCCTAAAGAGCAAGCAATGCAGAGGCAGAAGCTCAGTGGCTAGGAAAAAATGACTTTGTCATGATTGCCAAAGTTTTGGCGAGGCATTGAACGAGTGAAGGGAGCGATTGAACGAAGAAGGAGAATCAGAATTGGACTCGAGGCTCTCACCCAGGCTATGCAGGCTTAGGCTGTGTCCATTCCTCATTAAGGAGGGTGGGGGGAGAGGAGGAGGAGGGCTGTGTCCATTCCTCATTAAGGAGGGTGGTGGGAGGGGAGGAGGAGGGCTGTGTCCATTCCTCATTAAGGAGGGTGGGGGGAGGGGAGGAGGATGAGGGGGAGGGATCCGGTTGGTCAGCTCAGTGGACGGGGAGCGGGCCGGAGGGACAGGGGGAGGGGCCAACGACCTCCCCACACCTGTTGGGAAAGAAAACAGACAATGTCAAGAAACCTCACAAAGAGAGTTTTCTGTCAGTGTTGTAGTCTATAGCTGTGTTCGAATACTCATACTAACCGCACTAACCGTACTATTTATGACTTGAATTGAGTATGTAGTATGCTTATTGGTCATAGTATGGATATAGTTAGTATGCCAAAAGTTCCCGGATGTCGTACTAAATTTGCCAAAATATGAAGTATACAAGCAGTGGACACTATTTCCGTGCTTTTAGGGCCCATAATGCAATTCTTCAGAAAATGGGCGTGGCTTCACAACGTTTCAGATTAGAAGAAATTGGTGGAAAATATGCAGCCTTAGTCCGACGAGAGCGGATACAAATTCATCGCTTTAACTAATTATGACAAATGTTAAGAAAATGTTGAGCAATGTAATAAAGTAATGACTTTTCAGATAAGTTTGTTGGCTACACGTTATGTTGGCTGATAATTTGTTAGCTACGCTATCCTTACGAACCGCATAGCATTACAGCAGTATGTACCGGTATGTTAGCTAGCTACCTAACGTTAGTTGGCTACTAATACATCGAACTTGCCAGGCAGTATATGAACTATCTGCTATCTAACTAACTACCCAATGTTTATTGACTTGATTATTCACATCATTCTTAGCTAAGTGTTGTGCGTTTCAATGGACGTTGTTAATTCTGGCAGAATAACTGATTAATTTACGATCGCTCAACACCCGTTGAATATGGCCGGTGTCAGTAAACTTTGGCAAAAAAAATGCGTAATTAAATTGTTGCCAGCAGCACAGCTGTGGATAACATGAAAACAGCCTAACCAGCTCTGCTAAAGCAAGTAAAATGGAGTGAGGTGTTCTCGCATTTGTGTCTGGAAGTAGCTAGCCAAATGTTAGCCAGTTAGCTTGGGTGCTTAACTGCCATTGAACGCTCGGATCAACCTTACTCCTCGGACAGAGCGTCCAGTGTGCGCTCCGAGATCGAAACGCTCTGAATTTACGAACGCCCAGAGCGCACTCTGACACTCCAAATTGAATTTACGAACACACCCCGAAATCGTAAAATGTTTAGCTAGTAATTTGTTATGCTAAAAAAGCTAGCAAGAGGTTGCATAGCAACAGCATCAACTTCCGGTAGACAGGCAACGCTCTAGTACGCTCAACTGAAACGATACCGTTCGTTTACAGTATACTAAAATTAACTAATAGTATATAGTATGTAGTATATACTCAATAAGTATGTAGTATACAGTATGTTAGTATGATCTAGTCTGTGTAGCCAGATGAATGTGATGTAATTGGAACTAAACTCAAGTCAGGATAGACAATCTATTGAACAGTGTATTTCATAGGGACTGATACAATTAAACCACTGAATCATTAACAGTCAGATGCATGACACAGTAATCAATCCCTCTAGGATTCCGCGATTGCATTTTATTCTTATCACCGATTACCTGCGTATAATGCGAGAGCTTGCAAATTTGACCAATCACCGTATAAAACAGTCAAATCATCTCAACGTTATCGCATAAAACTGACCCGTCGCAGTACAAAAAGAGGCCTCCAGCGAAATCCTGGAGGGACTTCATACTGTGATGTAACACTCTCCTCTAGATTCCCCATATACCTGCACTCCTGGGCACAGCTGGTGGTCGGCGACTGGGTGCAGTGCAGGGGTAGGAGGGGGGTAGAGGGGGCACCGGGGGCCGCATGGCAGGGGACGGCACAGGGGGCATCTTGGGTGATGGAGGGGGCAGAGAGGAGGGGCAGCTGGGGGTGAATGAGGCGGGGAGGGGTGGAGGAGGAGGAGGGCTGTGGGGACTGGGGATAGAGAACCTCAATTCAGAGGAAGAGGAGGAGGAGGAGGAGAGGACAGGGGAGGGAGGAGGGGGGGAGGGAGGAGGAGAGGACAGGGGAGGGAGGAGGGGGGTAGAAGAAACCAGAGTTCCGGTTGGGGAGGGAGGAGGGGGGCGTGGAGGGAGGAGGGGGTGGGGGAGGAGGGGTGGAGGGCTGGGGTAAGGGGTGAGGGTGCTGGATGGGGAGCCAGGTAGGCTTGGTGACTTGGGTAGGGGGAGGAGGGGGAGGTCCTGTAGGGATGGGGGGGAGGCCTGCTGCTGGGACGCTCGTGGAAGGAGGGAGGAGGGGGAGGATGAGTGATGGTGGGGGCAGTGATGGACAGGGGAGGTTTGCTGTGAGAGGGGGAGGGAGGGGCGGAGGCTGAGTGGGCAGGGTGGTGGGAGGGGCTTCCTCTCTCTGTCGGCCTATGGGAGGGCTCGGGGGTGTGGTCACTGTCTGACGATGTCGGTGGAGGGTTCCACTGAGGCTTCAGTCCCGTTGATGAGCTAGAGCGTGAAACTGACACACACACAATGTCTATTAGAAACAGACACTGCAACACACACAACCTTGTTTGCTTATGACAGATGTGGAAAGAGAGAGAGAGAGAGAGAGAGAGAGAGAGAGAGAGAGAGAGAGAGAGAGAGAGAGAGAGAGAGAGAGAGAGAGAGAGAGAGAGAGAGAGAGAGAGAGAAAAGCAACACACCAGATAGAAGACAGTATATCCATCCTGTCATCCTGACCTACCCACGTTCTTCCCTGTGTAGGCTCTCTGTCCAGCAGGTCTGAGGGTGGGGAACCCCCCAGCGAACAACCCCCCTAGAGAGGGCCTCAAAGCCTCCACACCTCCTCCTGATCCTCCCTGGGGCTGATCCTGGGACAGAGCACCACTGGTAGATAAGACCTCACCACCACCACTGGCCCTGGGCTCTGCATGGAGAACAACACACACACAATGACTCAATATGTTTTATGATATCATCATATACAAGCATGTTAGCCTGCAGACATACTGGTATCTCAGAGGACTGCAGACATACTGGTATCTCAGAGGACTGCAGACATACTGGTATCTCAGAGGACTGCAGACATACTGGTATCTCAGAGGACTGCAGACATACTGGTATCTCAGAGGACTGCAGACATACTGGTATCTCAGAGGACTGCAGACATGCTGGTATCTCAGAGGACTGCAGACATGCTGGTATCTCAGAGGACTGCAGACATGCTGGTATCTCAGAGGACTGCAGACATGCTGGTATCTCAGAGGACTGCAGACATGCTGGTATCTCAGAGGACTGCAGACATGCTGGTATCTCAGAGGACTGCAGACATGCTGGTATCTCAGAGGACTGCAGACATGCTGGTGTCTCAGAGGACTGCAGACATGCTGGTATCTCAGAGGACTGCAGACATGCTGGTATCTCAGAGGACTGCAGACATGCTGGTATCTCAGAGGACTGCAGACATGCTGGTATCTCAGAGGACTGCAGACATGCTGGTATCTCAGAGGACTGCAGACATGCTGGTATCTCAGAGGACTGCAGACATACTGGTATCTCAGAGGACTGCAGACATGCTGGTATCTCAGAGGACTGCAGACATGCTGGTATCTCAGAGGACTGCAGACATGCTGGTATCTCAGAGGACTGCAGACATACTGGTATCTCAGATGACTGCAGACATGCTGGTATCTCAGAGGACTGCAGACATACTGGTATCTCAGAGGACTGCAGACATGCTGGTATCCTTCAGAGGACTTGCAGACATACTGGTAATCTCAGAGGAACTGCCATATGCCGGGTTATAGACTATTAGGAGGCCTGGGTTATAGACTATAGGAGGCCTGGGTTATATAATATAGGAGGCCTGGGTTATATAATATAGGAGGCCTGGGTTATATAATATAGGAGGCCTGGGTTATATAATATAGGAGGCCTGGGTTATAGACTATAGGAGGCCTGGGTTATAGACTATAGGAGGCCTGGGTTATAGACTATAGGAGGCCTGGGTTTTAATATAGGAGGCCGTTATAGTATATAGGAGGCCTGGTTATCAATAAGAAGGCCTGGGTTATAGACTATAGGAGGCCTGGGTTATACAATATAGGAGGCCTGGGTTATAACTATAGGAGGCCTGGGTTATAATATAGGAGGCCTGGGTTATAGACTATAGGAGGCCTGGGTTATACAATATAGGAGGCCTGGGTTATAGACTATAGGAGGCCTGGGTTATACAATATAGGAGGCCTGGGTTATACAATATAGGAGGCCTGGGTTATATAATATAGGAGGCCTGGGTTATAGACTATAGGAGGCCTGGGTTATACAATATAGGAGGCCTGAGTTATATAATATAGGAGGCCTGGATTATAGACTATAGGAGGCCTGGGTTATAGACTATAGGAGGCCTGAGTTATATAATATAGGAGGCCTGGCTATAGACTATAGGAGGCCTGGGTTATATAATATAGGAGGCCTGGGTTATAGACTATAGGAGGCCTGGGTTATAGACTATAGGAGGCCTGGGTTATAGACTATAGGAGGCCTGGGTTATAGACTATAGGAGGCCTGGGTTATATAATATAGGAGGCCTGGGTTATAGACTATAGGAGGCCTGGGTTATAGACTATAGGAGGCCTGAGTTATAAATATAGGGAGCCTGGGTTATAGACTATAGGAGGCCTGGGTTATATAAGATAGGAGGCCTGGGGTTATAGACTATAGGAAGGCCTGGGTTTAGACTATAGGAGGCCTGGGTTATAGGCAACTAGAGGAGGCCTGGGTTATAGATACTATAAGGAGGCCTGGGTTATATAATATAGGAGGCCTGGGTTATAGACTATAGGAGGCCTGGGTTATAGACTATAGGAGGCCTGGGTTATAGACTATAGGAGGCCTGGGTTATAGACTATAGGAGGCCTGGGTTATAGACTATAGGAGGCCTGGGTTATAGACTATAGGAGGCCTGGGTTATAGACTATAGGAGGCCTGGGTTATAGACTATAGGAGGCCTGGGTTATAGACTATAGGAGGCCTGGATTATAGACTATAGGAGGCCTGGGTTATAGACTATAGGAGGCCTGGGGTTATAGACTATAGGAGGCCTGGGTTATACCAATATAGAGGCCTGGATTATAGACTATAGGAGGCCTGGGTTATACAATAAGGAGGCCTGGGTTTATACAATATAGGAGGCCTGGGTTATACATATAGGAGGCCCTGGGTTATAGACCTATAGGAGGCCTGGGTTATATAATATAGGAGGCCTGGGTTATAGACTATAGGAGGCCTGGGTTATAGACTATAGGAGGCCTGGGTTATAGACTATAGGAGGCCTGGGTTATAGACTATAGGAGGCCTGGGTTATACAATATAGGAGGCCTGGATTATAGACTATAGGAGGCCTGTGTTTCCCACAGTATTTTCCTGGATTGTCTGTGTTCTTATCTGCTGCTGGGCATTCCTTCCTCAAGTGTGTGTTAATGGATGTTGTGTGTGTGTGTGTGTGTGTGTGTGTGTGTGTGGTGTGTGTGTGTGTGTGTGTGTGTGTGTGTGTGTTTGTGCCACCATGAGTAACCTTGAGCTCAAATATAGCTCTGAGAGATATCAGTGTGACCTTATCCACAACTATCTAAACTAACTACACCTCTCTCTCTCTGCTCCTGTTCTCTCTCTCTTCTGTCACTGTTATCCACAACTCTAAACTAACTACACCTCTCTCTCTCTGCTCCTGTTCTCTCTCTCTTCTGTCACTGTTATCCACAACTCTAAACTAACTACACCTCTCTCTCTCTCTGCTCCTGTTCTCTCTCTCTCTCTTCTGTCACTGTTATCCACAACTCTAAACTAACTACACCTCTCTCTCTCTGCTCCTGTTCTCTCTCTCTTCTGTCACTGTTATCCACAACTCTAAACTAAATACACCTCTCTCTCTCTGCTCCTGTTCTCTCTCTCTTCTGTCACTGTTATCCACAACTCTAAACCAACTACACCTCTCTCTCTCTGCTCCTGTTCTCTCTCTCTTCTGTCACTGTTATCCACAACTCTAAACTAACTACAACCTCTCTCTCTCTGCTCCTGTTCTCTCTCTCTTCTGTCACTGTTATCCACAACTCTAAACTAACTACACCTCTCTCTCTCTGCTCCTGTTCTCTCTCTCTCTCTTCTGTCACTGTTATCCACAACTCTAAACTAACTACACCTCTCTCTCTCTGCTCCTGTTCTCTCTCTCTTCTGTCACTGTTATCCACAACTCTAAACTAACTACACCTCTCTCTCTCTGCTCCTGTTCTCTCTCTCTTCTGTCACTGTTATCCACAACTCTAAACTAACTACACCTCTCTCTCTCTCTCTCTCTCTGCTCCTGTTCTCTCTCTCTTCTGTCACTGTTATCCACAACTCTAAACTAACTACACCTCTCTCTCTCTGCTCCTGTTCTCTCTCTCTTCTGTCACTGTTATCCACAACTCTAAACTAACTACATCTCTCTCTCTCTGCTCCTGTTCTCTCTCTCTTCTGTCACTGTTATCCACAACTCTAAACTAACTACACCTCTCTCTCTCTGCTCCTGTTCTCTCTCTCTTCTGTCACTGTTATCCACAACTCTAAACTAACTACACCTCTCTCTCTCTGCTCCTGTTCTCTCTCTCTTCTGTCACTGTTATCCACAACTCTAAACTAACTACACCTCTCTCTCTGCTCCTGTTCTCTCTCTCTTCTGTCACTGTTATCTACAACTCTAAACTAACTACACCTCTCTCTCTCTGCTCCTGTTCTCTCTCTCTTCTGTCACTGTTATCCACAACTCTAAACTAACTACACCTCTCTCTCTCTGCTCCTGTTCTCTCTCTCTTCTGTCACTGTTATCCACAACTCTAAACTAACTACACCTCTCTCTCTCTCTGCTCCTGTTCTCTCTCTCTTCTGTCACTGCTATCCACAACTCTAAACTAACTACACCTCTCTCTCTCTGCTCCTGTTCTCTCTCTTCAGCCTTTCCTCCCCTTCCTACTTTACTTTCATGATCTCCTTCCCACCGCTATCCTTCATCCTTTATCCTTTTCACTTTCCTTCTTGGGCTTTTTCTCTGTTACTCTTTTCCTCCTCTCTCTCTCTCCCCCTCTCTACGATTCCCTTCCTCTCTCTCTCTCCTCCCCCTCTCTAACGATTCCCTTCCTCTCTCTCTCTCCCCCTCTCTACGATTCCCTTCCTCTCCCCCCCCCTCTCTACGATTCCCTTCCTCTCTCTCTCTCCCTCTCTACGATTCCCTTCCTCCCTCTCTCTCTCTATGATTCCCTTCCTCTCTTTCTCTCTACGATTCCCTTCCTCTCTCTCTCTCCCCCCTCTCTACGATTCCCTTCCTCTTTCTCTCCCTCTCTCTAACGATTCCCTTCCTCTCTCTCTCCCCCCCCTCTCTACGATTCCCTTCCTCTCTCTCCTCCCCCCCTCTACGATTCCCTTCCTCTCTCTCTCTCTACGATTCCCTTCCTCTCCCCCTCTCTACGATTCCCTTCCTCTCTCTCTCCCTCCCCTCTCTACGATTCCCTTCCTCTCTCTCCCCCCTCTCTACGATTCCCTTCCTCTCTCTCTCTCTCCCCCCCTTTCTTTCCATCTCCCTTCTCTCCCTCTCCCCTCTCTCATTCCCTTCCTCTCTCTCTCTCTCCCTCTCTCGTTCCTCTTCCTCTCTCCCCTCTCCCCCCCTCTCTACGATTCCCTTCCTCTCTCTCTCCCCCCCTCTCTACGATTCTTCCTCTCTCCTCTCTACGATTCCTCCTCCCCCCCTCTCTAACGATTCCCTTCCTCCCTTCTCCTCCCCCTCTCTACGATTTCCATTCCATTCCTTCTCCCCTCCTCCCTCCTCTCTACGATTCCATTCCTTCTCTCTCTCCCCCTCTCTACGATTCCTTCCTTCCTCTCTCTCTCTCCCCCTCTCTACATTCCCTTCCTTCCTTTCTCTCCTCTCCCCCTCTCTACGATTCCCTTCCTCTCTCTCTCTCCCCCCCTCTACGATTCCCTTCCTCTCTCTCTCCCCCCTCTATATTCCTCCTCCCCTCTCTCTCTCTCTCGATCCTTCCTCTCCCCCCTACGATTCCCTTCCTCTCTCTCCTCTCCCCCTCTCTACGATTCCCTTCCTCTTCCTCTTCCCCTCTAATTCCTCTCCCCCCCTCTACGATTCCCTTCCTCTTTCTCTCCCCTCTCTACGATTCCATTCCTTTCTCTCTCTCCCCCCTCTACGATTCCCTTCCTCTTTCTCTCTCCCCCTCTCTACGATTCCATTCCTTTCTCCCTCTCCCCTCTCTACGATTCCATTCCTCTCTCTCTCTCCCCCCTCTACGATTCCATTCCTCTCTCTCTCTCCCCTCTCTACGATTCCATTCCTCTCTCCCTCTCTCTCTCTACGATTCCATTCCTCTCTCTCTCTCCCCCTCTCTACGATTCCCTTCCTTTCTTTCTCTCCCCTTTCTACGATTCCATTCCTTTCTCTCTCCCCCTCTCTACGATTCCATTCCCTTCCTCTCCCCCTCTCTACGATTCCCTTCCTCTCTCTCTCTCCCTATCCCAAACAAACACACATTCTCTCTTTCTCTCCCAGTCTCATTTTGTTCCCCATGACAGTGAGTCACAGAGAGCAGTCCCATGTGAGAATCATTTAACAGTGAAACTCAGACACAAGCTGAAATACCTTCTCTATCTGTGTCCCGTGGACTCTCTCTCAGCTATGTCAATTGGGGATTGGTTTAAAAGAGGTCAAAAGGGATTTTTTTTAGGGGATGTTTGGGGAGACAAAAGGGAAGGTAAGCGGGTGACGGTGTGTGTGTGTGTGTGTGTGTGTGTGTGTGTGTGTGTGTGTGTGTGTGTGTGTGTGTGTGTACTCACTGTCGACAACTGGTGCGCTACGGTCATGGACCTGTACAACCTTCCTTAACCTGGCTCCTTTCTGGATATCTTCTAACAGGGCGTTCCTCCCTCCTCTTCCTCCTCCAACACTAATACTCTGGAGACTAGGAGGGTCTGGCCGAGACTAGGAGAGAGAAAGAGAGCGATAGAGAGTTTAAGAGTTTTTTTTTTTTAAACGTTATTGGGTCTGGGAACCCACAACACAATAAACACTCAAGCAAACAAAAACTATGGAGGACTAAAAGTGCCACAATTAAATAAATAAATACACCAAAAAATAATTACTTAAATGTGTCATTAATTAATTAAAATTAGAATTAAATACATAAATGTGTAATTAAATGTATCATTAATTAATTCAAATACCGATTCATTTTATGTAAAATACATATATAATTATTTCACTATTTACATTTACATTTCATGATCCTGCATTGCAGTGATTCATGAATTACTTAAAACTGTCAAACTGACCCATCAAAGTCAGTGGGCGGGGCTAACGCGAATCTAGTCTGATCCATTGCTTTGGTCTGAAGTAGAGTAGGCCAACCTGGATAGAGACAATGGAGGATCTCCGTGAACTTTCCAGGGAGTTGGTTAGAGACATTTTAAACTTAGCAGAGGATGTAGAAGCAGGACCTGCTGACATTATCCGGAATTGATTTGTTTTGGCTTGATGTAGAGGGTAACTAATCAGGCGTTAGGTTCCGCCTACCAACTTTTGATGGGTCAGTTTGACAGTTTTAAGTAATTCAGGAAGCACTCCAACGCAGGACCATGAAATGTAAATGTAAATAGTGAAATTATTATATATGTATTTTACATAAAATGAATCGGTATTTGAATTAATTAATGACACATTTAATAACACATTTATGTATTTAATTCTAATTTTAATTAATTAATGACACATTTAAGTAATTATTTAATGGTGTATTTATTTATTTAATTGTGGCACTTTTAGTCCTCCATAAAAAACATGGTTAAACATCAATTAAAAGACACAACACCAAATCTTCCTCCACAGTAACTAAACACAGCAGCCTCTGAATGCCCCATATACTCATAAACAGGCCAATGTTATTAACCATTTTGTAATAAACAAACTCAACCCTCAGTCTCGCTGCCAACATCCCCTCCAGCATTCCCACCACATCCACAGACCCCTGTCCCCGAATACTGTTCTTTTGTGTCTTCCAAATTGCTAATTTAGCTGCCCCTGACAGAAAGCTAAGTAAGAGAACTACACCCCTTCGACTGAACCTGTACTTTGGCCCAAATATAAACAGTTGGAAAGAGAAAACCTCTCCCAGAGCTGAGAACCAATTAGTGATCAGGTCAATCATCCCGACCAACCTGGGTCACTGTAAGAATAGATGTGCCAGAGGTTCAGACTCAGCACAGAATGGACACCCCTCCCCAACAGTAAGATCCAGGTGTACCAGATGCATGTTGGTGGCTATGGCTCCATGTATTATCCTCCATTGGAGGTCAGCTGTCCTCTTATCAATAAGCAGTTTATATAAAGACCGCCAACAGCCTTTTGGGGAGGCACCTGGACCAAACGCACACGCCCACCTCAACGATTTTACCCCTTCCAGGGAAGAAGCACGAGACACCTTTACACAGTTTTGTACATGGCCTTCTTTCCCACCTCCTTGAACTCCCCCAGCTCCGGGGTATCGAAGGAAAGCAGCATCCCCACGTTCTCCTCGAACGCCCCCGCCACAGCACTAACATTCAGTGCAGGGAACACATAATCCAGACACTCCGTCCACCGATCAGAATTGGAAGTATCAGTAACATACTGCCGATGAAGTACTGGCAAGGAATCGCAGACCTCAGCTACGACCTTCCTCAGTAGGCGAGATGATTGGATCCCCGCTCTTTCTCCCAGCTCCTCCAACGATCTGCTCCTGCTCCGCATCAGATGACCCAGCTTGGTACGCCCCACTCCTAACAGGCATAAACGTAGGCTGGCTGAACCCACAGCACGGGACTGGATGACAGTGTTATAAAAAAGGGGCTCTTCAAAAAGCTACATCCCTGGTGCTGTGCCGGCATTACGGGACATGTCGAAAACTCTCCAAGCAGCATAACAGACTCATAGAATGGAGTCAGGGCAGACAAATCACCCCCCTCTAGCTTTAAGAGGAAAAGGTGCTTGTCTAAGCCCAAACAGCCCGCTCTCCTCATCAATGTGTAGGCTGTGTCAACCCAGCTAGAACCGTCACTGTACAACAGTCTCTGGGCTGCTTGAAGCCGGAAAGCCATGATCCTGGAAGAAATGTCCACCAGGCCTTGCCCACCCTCGTGCAGTGGCAGGTACAGGGCTGCAGCTTTAATCCAATGTTGTCCAGACCAGAAGAAATTGACAAGGGTCCTCTGAAGCTCTTGTATCTAGGTTATTGTCTACCAGCACCCTTCCCCTATAAGACAGCTGGGGTAGCACCCATTTCCACCTAGACAATCTGGCACACACCTTCTCCCGGTAACCGTGGAGCGGACCCTGTCTGAAGCTGACCTGCCCACAGCGATTCACTCTTTCCCCAATTAACTCTAGCTGAGTAGGCCCCTTCATACACCTTTAAAGTGTTTGAGAACCTTAACATCCTCAACATCCTCACCCCCTGTAATAAAAACTGCCACGTCATCTGCATACGCAGACAGTGCTATCGTGGGACCCTTCATAACCCCTGGCACAGAGAAACCAGTAAGCCTCGCTCTTAAAAAACAAAGCATTGGTTCAATTGCCAGACAATATAACTGTCCTGAAATTGGGCATCCTTGCCTAATACCCCTATGGACGGGGATGGGGCAGCTCAAACCACCCCCCACCTTCACCATCCATGAGGCCCCAGCATACAGTAAACTGATCCAAGACAAAAAAAAACATCCCCAAACCCAAAGGCTTTCATTGTTTTGAACAAGTACTGGTGGTCCACACGGTCAAAAGCCTTCTCCTGATATTAGAAATGAGTTATCAACAATAGAGCGTTCAGGTACACAGTAAGACTGGTCCTTGTGGACCAACAGCCCCAGATATTCTTTCAACCTGTTTGAGAGACACTTAGATATCATTTTATAGTCTGCACACAGCAATGCAACAGTTTTTTTTAAAGAGCCAAATCCCCCTTTTTTGGCAACAATGAAAGCACAGCACGTTGACAGGATACAGGAAGAGAACCCTCATGAAAATATTCACACACCACTTCATAAAAAATCCCCCCCAATAGACCCCCAAAAGTGCTTATAAAACTCAGATGGTAAACCATCGATGCCAGGGGCTCGGCCTGATGAGAGCTGCGTAACTGCAGTGGACAGCTCCTGCAGAGTAATGCCAGAGTCCAAAGCAGCTCTCTGCTCAGGGCCCAATTGAGGAAGTCCATTTAACAACTGTTCAGCACACAGAGGATCGCAATCCTCCGCCTTATAGAGGGCAGAGTAGAAATCCACGGCATGTTGGCGCATCTCACCGTCATCCGTGGTCACCTTCCCATCAGGGAGACGAAGGCAGACCAACTGTTTGTGTTGCCATGTCGACAGCCCTAGGTTAAAAAAAAAGAAGCTTTAGGAGCACCCATATCTTTGAGGGAAGCAAAGCGAGACCTAATCAAGGCACCCTTCACTCTTTCCTGTAAAAACGACCTCAGTTCATGTCTCTTGTCCTGTAAGTTCATGTCTAGTCTGGGGTCATTCTGAGTGAGCAACTTCAATTCAATAGATTTGATGTCCTGTTCAAGGGCCCTGATAGTCTCTTTAACTTCAATAGTTAAGCAGAGCAGTATACTGTTGACAAAACACACGTCTCAAGGACTCAAAATTCCATTTAATAACCCGTGCCGTCATCATTGCTTTGTACAAAAAGGGCTTCACAGGCAAGGATATTGCTGCTAGTAAGATTGCACCTAAATCAACCATTTATCGGATCATCAAGAAATTCAAGAAGAGAGGTTCAATTGTTTGGAAGAAGGCTTCAGGGTGCCCAAGCAAGTCCAGCAAGCGCCGTGACCCTCTCCTAAAGTTGATTCAGCTGCGGGATCGGGGCACCACCAGTGCAGAGCTTGCTCAGGAATGGCAGCAGGCAGGTGTGAGTGCATCTTCACGAACAGTGAGGCGAAGACTTTTAGAGGATGGCCTGGTGTCAAGAAGGGCAGCGAGGAATCCACTTCTCTCCAGGAAAAACATCAGGGACAGACTGATATTGTGCAGAAGGCACAGGGATTGGACTGCTGAGGACTGGGGTAAAGTCATTTTCTCTGATGAATCCCCTTTCCGATTGTTTGGGGCATCCGGAAAAACACCTTGTCCGGAAAAGACAAGGTGAGCGCTACCATCAGTCCTGTGTCATGCCAACAGTAAAGCATCCTGAGACCATTCATGTGTGGGGTTTGCTGCCAAGGGAGTGGGCTCACTCACAATTTTGCCTAAGAACACAGCCATGAATAAAGAATGGTACCAACACATCCTCCGAGAGCAACTTCTCCCAACCATCCAAGAACAGTTTGGTGACGAACAATGCCTTTTACAGCATGATGGAGCACCTTGCAATAATGCAAAAGTGATAACTAAGTGGATCGGGAAACAAAACATCGAAATGTTGGGTCCATGGCCAGGAAACTCCCCAGACCTTAATCCCATTGAGAACTTGTGGTCAATCCTCAAGAGGCGGGTGGACAAACAAAACCCCACAAATTCGGACAAACTCCAAGCATTGATTACGCAAGAATGGGCTGCCATCAGTCAGGATGTCGCCCAGAAGTTAATTGACAGCATGCCAGGGTGGATTGCAGAGGTCTTGAAAAAGAAGGGTCAACACTGCAAATATTGACTCTTTGCATAAACTTAATGTAATTGTCAATAAAAGCCGTTGACACTTATGGAATGCTTGTAATTATACTTCAGTATACCATAGTAACATCTGACAAAAATATCTAAAAATACTGAAGCAGCAAACTTTGTGAAGACCAATACTTGTGTCATTCTCAAAACTTTTGACCACGACTGTATTGTCTCTGTACAGTTCCGGTCCCCCCCTAAAACCATACACCCCTCTTGGTCACACTGTCTTAAGGTTTCCTTTATTTGATCAAATACAGCAATACGCTTTGTACCCTCATTAGGAGCATAAACATAAAAATAAAAAAAACATAACATCCACCTTGACCAATAAATCCCAACCCTTGACAATCTCTGTTGTAGATACCACAGTCACCCCTAAGCCTGAGGAAAACAAAATTGCCACCCCAGCACTGAAATTAGTACCATGACTGAGTATATGCTGCCCCTCCCACCACATACCCCAGTCAACCTCATTTTCCTCATCACTATGTGTCTCCTGTAGAAAAACTACATTAAGCCTTTTCTGTTTTATTACTTCTAATATCCAAGCCCTCTTATTCCTGTCCCTTTCTCCATTAACATTGAGAGAACCTACCCTTAGTACGTCCATATAGAAAAGAGAAAGGAAAAACAGAAGAAACCACTGAGAAACCAGACAAAGAGAAAAAAGCACCCTATGAGGCATGATAATCATCATTGTTTTAATTTTCTCTTAACCTTACCATGCTTCCCACCACCCTTTGCTGCCGTGATAGCAGTAACATTTCCTCAAGCGGAAGACGCTTCTTCACACTCAACTGGTCTAACCCCACCATCTTCTGTAACACCACAGCTGACCTCACAAACTTATCAACATAAAAAAAAAAATCTGCCAATTTAATTTAACAGATTTCCCCAAAAGTCTGGTCCAAGAACCCATTTACCTTTATCTAGATAGAGTCGTCACCAGGTGCTATCATATCAACAGGGATATCAGAAATGTCCATATCCTTCTCCTGATCCTCCTCAACTGAGGCCACAGACCCCTGACTCCCCTCTGCCACATCCCTCTCAACACTCCCCACTCGCACCCCCATCACTAGTACCGGGCATCTCCTCCACTACCTGGGAGACTAGCTCCACCTGAACCCCATCACTCGTACCGGGCATCTCCTCCACTACCTGGGAGACTAGCTCCACCTGAACCCCATCACTCGTACCGGGCATCTCCTCCACTACCTGGGAGACTAGCTCCACCTGAACCCCCTCCTGTACCCATCACTCGTACTGGGCATCTCCTCACCAGTCTGAGGAAATGGCTCCTCAGATCCGTCCTTACCTCCTACAACAATATTTTTCTGCTGCACATCAGACGCTATGATCCCCTCTGGGTCAAGCTGCAACTCAGCACCCTCAACACAAACAACTTGTTCCTCAGCAACAGGTGCTTGTGGCTGCTCTACCACTGTCGGCCCACCTCTCCCTACATCAGTGGGCCCAGGCATTATGAGGACCACCTGCGCCCCTCCCTCCGCCTTCTCCCTTTTCGGGCAAGCATGTCGCTTATGGCAAACATCCCCACATTCAAAACACCATTGACTACCCATACTAGACACCGTTGCCCTAGAGCACACAAAAAACTATACATACCTCGGCCTAAACATCAGCGCCACAGGTAACTTCCACAAAGCTGTGAACGATCTGAGAGACAAGGCAAGAAGGGCCTTCTATGCCATCAAAAGGAACATAAAATTTGACATACCAATTAGGATCTGGCCAAAAATACTTGAATCAATTATAGAACCCATTGCCCTTTATGGTTGTGAGGTCTGGGGTCCGCTCACCAACCAAGAATTCACAAAATGGGACAAACACCAAATTGAGACTCTGCATGCAGAATTCTGCAAAAATATCCTCTGTGTACAACGAAAAACACCAAATAATGCATGCAGAGCAGAATTAGGCCGATACCCGGTAATTATCAAAATCCAGAAAAGAGCCGTTAAATTCTATAACCACTTAAAAGGAAGCGATTCCCAAACCTTCCGTAACAAAGCCATCACCTACAAAGAGATGAACTTGGAGAAGAGTCCCCAAAGCAAGCTGGTCCTGGGGCTCTGTTCACAAACACAAACAGACCCCACAGAGCCCCAGGACGGCAACACAATTAGACCCAACCAAATCATAAGAAAACAAAAAGATAATTACTTGACACATTGGAAAGAACAAACAAAAAAACAGAGCAAACTAGAATGCTATTTGGCCCTAAACAGAGAGTACACAGTGGCAGAATACCTGACCACTGTGCCTGACCCAAACTTAAGGAAAGCTTTGACTATGTACAGACTCAGTGAGCATAGCCTTGCTATTGAGAAAGGCCGCCGTAGGCAGACCTGGCTCTCAAGAGAAGACAGGCTATGTGCACACTGCCCACAAAATGAGGTGGAAACTGAGCTGCACTTCCTAACCTCCTGCCAAATGTATGACCATATTAGAGACACATATTTCCCTCAGATTACAGCGATCCACAAAGAATTCGAAAACAAACCCAATTTTGATAAACTCCCTTATCTACTGGGTGAAAAACCACAGTGTGCCATCACAGCTGCAAGATTTGTGACCTGTTGCCACAAGAAAAGGGCAACCAGTGAAGAACAAACACCATTGTAAATACAACCCATATTTATGTTTATTTATTTTCCCATTTGTACTTTAACTATTTGCACATTGTTACAACACTGTATATATACATAATTTGACATTTGAAATGTCTTTATTCTTTTGGAACTTCTGAGTGTAATGTTTACTGTTAATATTTATTGTTTATTTCACTTTTGTTTACTATTTACTTCACTTGCTTTGGCAATGTTAACACACGTTTCCCATGCCAATAAAGCCCTTAAATTGAATTGAATTAAAAAATGATTGAAATTGAGAGAAGAGAGAGAAGAGAGAGAGAGAGAGAAGAGAGAGAAGGAGCGAGAGGAGAGAGAGAGAGAGCTCGCGACGAGCGCTAGATACTGAGGAGACTAGAGATGCGCTAGAGATCTCGAGAGACTATCTCTAGAGCTTATCGCGTATCCTCTCGACTCGCCGCTCTCTTCTCTCGCTCTCTCGTCTCTTTTCTCCTCTGAGAGAGAACGAGACATAAATTCGAGAGACATAAAATTGTCCTGGTCAGGTCATGTTCTCAGGAAAACACTTGGCCTTAGCAAGTACATTATAAGGCACATATCTTTGTCAGTGTGTGGAATACACAGTATCAAACTGTCACCAGGTCAGAGATTGACACACTGACCTATATAGATAGACACACTGACCTATATAGATAGACACACTGACCTATATAGATAGACACACTGACCTATATAGATAGACACACTGACCTATATAGATAGACACACTGACCTATATAGATAGACACACTGACCTAAATAGATAGACACACTGACCTAAATAGATAGACACACTGACCTATATAGATAGACACACTGACCTATATAGATAGACACACTGACCTATATAGATAGTGTCACGCCCTGACTTATGGGACTCTGGTATGATGAGTCAGGGTGTGGTGTTCAATGTTGTGTTTTCTATGGTTTTCATTCTAGGATTGTATGTCTATGTTTGGCCAGGTGTGATCCCCAATCAGAGACAGCTGTCGCTCGTTGTCTCTGATTGGGGATCATACTTAGGCAGCCAGTTTTCCTGCCTGTGTTGTGGGATCTTGTTCCGTGTTTAGAGGCTTGTATTGTGTTTAGCCTCAGGACTTCACGTTTCATTGGTTTGTTGTTTTTGTTCGTGTGTTTATCGGTGAAATAAACATGTATGGCTTTCACGCTGCGCCTTGGTCTGACCCGTCCTTAAACGAACGTGACAGATAGACACACTGACCTATATAGACATGCTTTGCCAGCCATCAAAGGAAACTAATTTAACATGAGAACACAGAGCTTATTCTGGAAACATGACACTGCCGTCCTACTGTGTCCGTTCTCTACCCTAGTGTGTGTTTGTGTGCTTGTAACTGTACCTCTAATTAATAATGCAAATAACAGCCAGGTGGTTGACACAAAGTGGGTGTGTGTATATCTTACCTGTGGTGGGGGAGCAGCACAGGGTGGTGGAGGTGGAGGGGGTGCAAGAGGAGGGGGAGGAGGGACAGGCATGGCTGGCCACAGAATCTCAGGCCTGCAGAACACAAGAAATTAACAGAAAATGAGTGACCATAAAACCAGTACGCAACTGACCATTTCTAATGACTGACCATATGCATTGACTGATCAAGTTGTTGATAGTAATGATCACAGTAATGACTCCATATTACCATATCACACCTGGTCCTTTCATGTCCTTTCAGACCCACAAAGATTAGTGTCAAGGAATGAAGGAAGGGGATATGTTTTCTGATTGGAATCAGACCCATTTCAGACAGAAACACTAACCCAGTGTTTTCAGTCCAGTAGTGGGTTTAACCTGGATCAACTACTTCCTCTGGGATTAAGGAAAGGAGAGTTGTTTATTTAAAAAATAATATATGTTATTCTATACCCTCTTTTCTCCCCAATTGGTAGTTAGTCTTGTCCCATCACTGCAACTCCCCTACAGACACGGGAGAGGTGAAGGTCGAGAGCCATGCATCCTC